CAAACCATTCTGTGATTGTATGAGTCTATGTTCCAACAGTTAGGCCTCCCCGTGTGTATTTTACCTTCCTCTCCTGATGGACTCGCACAGGGAGGAAGTAGCATGTGTTCTAGATTTTTTAGATTTGAGAATAACTCACTTGTAACTTCCCTGTACACCATTACCATCACAGAAAAGACAGTATCTTATTTAAATGCATTGGAAGGTGCCTGTAAATTTGCTGGTGCCAATGCCAGGTGGGGGAAGATTGAACAGTTTTCCCACCACCTGAGATTGCAGCCAGAGGATTTTTTAGCAAATCAGATTTGCTAATAAAGTCAAGGAAGCCAAAATGCAGGGGTGGCAAGGGTTTGGGATTCTTGGGAAACAGCATTAAATAATAAAAAAACAAGGGATTTCAAAGACAGGAAGACATAGAGGTGGGAAACAGATGTTAAGATAAAACTGGAAGAAAAGAAAGTGAATTGGGGGAGAAGACAAACTAAAACGAACATAAGAATAAAACAAGGTATTTGAAAAAAATGGTTACAACAGGCCACTGTGTGTTCTGTAAATGTCATCGTTATCTTTTCTAAGTTAAAATACATGTAAAGAGGTGATGTCACTTTTTTCTATATGGTGTTGCTGCTTCCTGATTTTGGCTAATTCTCTCCAGCCCCCTCTTTTTCCCATCCCTCCGTTCTTTTTCATCCAGAAGAAAAAAAACCCACAAGTAACATTTCTCAGCTCATTCTACACTACTAAGATACCCGTTATTTCCTATGCTTAGTGTATCAAATAACAGGAATGCTTGCTGCTGGTGCTGATGTACCAAAAGATTCATTTCTTAACTGGAATCATCACACTAAAACAAATTTAAATATATATTTATGTGTGTGTATATATATATGCATGTGTGGGTGTAGAGCTTTTGTTCAAAAGTGAAGAAATTATATTTTGGCTTAGCTATAAATAATTATCTACAGCATAAACCATTTCACTGACCATTTTACAGCCATTATTTCATAATTACTAATCTAAGTGGATTTCAACCAGTCAAGTATCGCTGTTGGACAGACCGAGTCTGCAACAGCTGGAGATAAAATGGGTTTAATGTGGGAGCCCAGTACACCAGGAGCGATTTCAGAGACGCTGCACCATGGGAAAGTGCTGCTGCAACATCTTTGTAAAAGGGCGAGCACACGCAATCCAGGCAGGGTTAGCTCCACTTCCTTGGAAGACAAGGAAGGCAGAAGTATTGCCTCTGAACACTTCCCATTTCCTGTGGCCGGGACTGAGGCAACAACAATACCCTTGAGCCTTACGTGTGAAAACTGGATTATGCCCAAGCCCAGCAGAGACAAAGAGGAAGTAGAGCAGGCTCTTGTGGGACCGGGAACAAGATACATCACACATGTCACTTCACAGGAGAGAAGTAATACTGCTCATTCATTACCTTCTCTTCTGAGTCCCCTGGCTGGCAGGTAATTACTCCATCTCGTGAGCCCCCAGCAAATGTTGCTTTGCAGTTCGCAAGCCACTGTTTTCAGAAAGAAATTAGAAGAAGTTATGAGTAAGGCCTATAGTTTGATTTGCAGAAAGGTGAGCAGTATTTTAGCTTCACAGGACAGCATATAAAGAAAATTTTGCAACTGCACTTTGTATTCATCACAGGCGACTTGCTTTGACTGTAATTTAAAAGGTGTTGTGTTGATTTTTATTAGTATTTGAATTGCATAAACCAAGAAAATGAATTAATTACTGAAGAGGAGAAAGGACAGATCAAGAGTATTGAAGATGTCAATGTTTCTAAAATTAAGGGATACCGTAGCTGTTTTGTTAGTACTGGTTCATATGTTCAAGAAGAAACATATAGTGAATCCAGTATCTGAACCATGTTTTTCTACTGAATATTAGTTTAAACAGGTCTGAGTGTATCTGCAGTCCCCAACATAGCATAAGTATACGCACATACAACACCAAGACATAATCCAGCATACCGAGAGCGTGGCCTCTTTCCTGTTGTTGTATGTGTCCAGGTACTCCTGCAGTTCTAAAACACTGAACTTCAGCTTTTCAAGAAGGCCACATGACAGCAGCTGGAGAAATGAAATCAAAAGGGCTAGTGAATGTCACTATAAAAGAATAAAAGTATTAGCAGAGTAGAAAGTACAGTAAAGATCTTGCAAAGGAATACTTAGATTTACAGATACTAATACTAAAAAATATTTACACTTATGAAAAATATAAAAACATGGAATGGTTTGGGTTGGAAGGGACCTTAAAGATCATCCATTTCCACCCCCCCTGCCACGGGCAGGGACCCCTTCCACTAGACCAGGTTGCTCAGAGCCTCATCCCACCTGGCCTTGAACACTTCCAGGGCTGGGGCATCCACAGCTTCTCTGGGCAACCTGTCCCAGTGCTTCACCACCCTCTCCAGGAAGAACTTCTTCCTGATGTCTAATCTAAACCTCCCCACTTTCAATTTAAACCTGTTACCCCTTGTCCTGTCACTACAGGCCCTTGTAAAAAGTCCCCCCCAGCTTCCTTGTAGCCCCTTCAGGTACTGGAAGGTGCTATAAGGTCTCCCCGGAGCCTCCTCTTCTCCAGGCTGAACAAGACCAATATACATAAATAAAATACTATACTGAAAACTCAATAACAAAAGTTGCACCTGTGAGAATATGGAATTGAAACTGTGTTCTGTGTTTAAGATCTTTGCAGAGGACTTCCCCAAAATAAAACACTGCATAAAGCTTAACTAGTTAATCTCCACAGCTGTCTGATGACGTAAGGCACAGCTCTACCACGGTCACAGCAGTGGGCCCAAGATGACACTTGGCAAGTTCCTACCTTCATAATTCTGTGTGAGGCCACGCTGTCCTGATGCTGTTAGATACACACGGGCCAGAATTAAAACAATGGGAAGGGCCAACTCTTTCATTCCCTAATAGACATTTTTATCATTCAGCTCATATCACAGTTGACTCAAATGAAACCACTAAACATATTACCATCTTTCAGGTTGAACTATGTAAAAAATAGTTTTTCCTTTTCCATTTGTGGATCCAACTGGGTCTGGTAGGCACCTGTTTTATACTGGTGTTTGGCAATTAGGCTCAAGACATCGTAACTATTCTATGATTCTACATTGCCCACCTGGTAGTAGTTATCTAATAGAACACTATGGAAATTTGGTTAAGAAAGAAGGATAAAAATCAGACTAGAAGGTATTTAAGAGTTGCTCAAAAGTGAAACAGCCAGTAAAATAACACACTGCAATGCAGCACATGCCTTCTGAAGGGAATATACTCACTGTTTCTGCATCTACAAAAAGGGTGGGACATTCTGAACATGACGTTAACATCTGAGAAGACCTCACGAACTTGGAGCCTATTCCTCGCAGGTTGTCCCCCAAGTAACTCGCTGCATCGCAGGTTAGGAAGCAGAATCTTTTCTGAATATTCTGTAACGCAAAACACAGTTTGTCACATTCTTTATTCCAGTACAAGCTGCTTTCCTTTGTAAACAAACGGCATGCTCTTTTTCCTTTGCACAGTAACATGTGCAAAAGTGGCCATCCCTGTGGAGAGCTGCACGTCTGCTCAAGGGTACTGCGTAACAGTTATGCTGGAGAGAGTGCACAGCTGGGCAGCTGTGCAACTAAGCACAGAATCCACAATAATCTACTACTGAAATACATTCATTCCTGTGAAGACAACTCAATCTTTATAAAGCCTTTTGCCCACAGGTAGCTTTTCCCTCCTGGCTGTACAGAGTTAACAGAGTTCATCAGCACATTACTTCTTCTGCCCATTCCGGGCATTGTTTTGTTAGTATTCCATGTCAAGTGGCTAATCAGATAATATAATGGAAATCCTAATGCCAAAAATCAGAGAAAAACTTTTGTTTTCCCCTGTGGGAAAAAACTTTTCTGCTGCTTGGAAGGCCTCCAGAAATAGTGCACTGCATCCGGGAATTATTCTTCTCAGAAGGTTTTTTTGGTGTTTTGACTTCTAAACCAGCCTAGCCTTCCAGAAACATTCTAGTGCTGATACTTTCTTTTAAGTGACTAATATATAAAGTGAATAATAAATAAAAATAACCCGTTAGTCTTTCAGTAACTGAAATAATGATATTGATAAATACACAGCAGGTTTCACTGCCAAAATATATTTCATTATGGCCAACTGCTTGGCAGGTGGGAGTAACAGGAAAATAGTTTTTAAAATAAAAATATGCTAGAGTTTCATATGATTCATTCCATGTTACCATAGGCATTTCTCTGAGGAATATAGGTTAGGACTTGTGTTACTGTAGGCATGTCTCACTGGAAAGAGGCGCTTTCCGAATGCCAATCTGGATGACAGACACATAAATAGCCTGTTACTGCTCCTACACTGGAACATCAAAGTTAAGTACCTATTTCAGGTGAGCTGAATTCAGACTTTATTGATAACAGAATCTGTTGGATTGAATGATTTTTTTACAAAAGCTACATAAGCCCTCACATTGTAGGTAGGGTATACACTATCAATAACTTATAAAGTGGTTAAAGAAAAAAATTATCTACAGGCCGGTTTTACAGCTGCTTTTAGTTGGGACAGAGTTAGTTTTCTTCACAGTAGCTAGTATAGGGGACAATAAACGGACTGCCGTGGTTTAAGCCCAGACAGCAACTAAGCACCACACAGGCGCTTGTTCACCTCCCCCCTCCTCTGCCAGTGAGGGAGGAGAATTGGAGGAAAAGACAAGGGAACTGAGGGGTTGAGATAAGAACATTTTAGTAATTTAATATAAGTGAATAAAATAGCAACAGCAATAATACTAACAATACCAGTAATACTAACAATGCTAATAACACTAATATTACCACCAGTATTACTATTAATAACATGTTATGAAAATAATACTACCACTACTAGTGATAATATGTAATAAAAATAATGGAAAATAAATCAAATTATACAAATGCTCACCACCTGCTGATGGATGCCCAGCCAGGTCCTGAGTAGTCAGAGCCCGAGAGAGAGCAAGAGCGAATGAAAAAGCCAACCAACCAACATGGCCCCCCCAGCGCACCCCCAATTTATATAGTGAGCATGACAATTTATGGATTGAAATACCCCTTTGGTCAGTTTGGGTCAGCTGTCTGGCCTGTGTCCCCTCCCAGCTTCTTCTAGTGAACACAGGTGCAGCAGCAGAAACCAAAAAAGGTCCTTGAGTTGGTACAAACCCTCCTTAGAAACAAGTAAACCAACCAGTGTTTTCAATGCTCTTCTTTGCACAATCCAAAACACAGCCCCATGCTAGCTACCATGAAGAAAATTAACTCTGTCCCAACTCAAACCACCACACCGCTTATTTGTGAATCTCTCTCTAAAGCATCTGAACCAGCCGTCTGAACACAGCTGTGATCAGACAGGCTGATACTTGTCTTTCTGTATGTTTCTACCATTTTACTTCAACACAGAAACAGTGTGCTATACATGTCGCTCAGCACATGGTTCAGATTCTCTGCTGCACTGAGTCTCTAGTAGAGGCTACTGTAGTAGAGGCAAGGGGTCTTATTAATTACCACCAAACCAGGTAAATGATTATTTTTATAAGCAACTAGCAGTATCATCTGAATCACAGGGCTTGGTGACAGTTGGAGATTTACTACCATGATGTCTTCAGAAAAGAAAGATTCAGTCCAAGTCTCAGTGACACTGGTGCTGACAAGTCTTCTGGCAAAGGAAAGATTCCAGGTTTGAGCCTAACTAACAGAAAAGAGCTAGCTGAGAATATAGAAGTGGTAGGAAATTTAGAAAGACAGATTATGGAACAGAATCCAAGAGATGTTGGAGAACATCTGTTCCAGCCTTCAAGTCGAAGTGGGACTACTGCCAGCACTACATCAGGTCAGCCACGGTTTTGTCTAGCAGAGTCTTGAAAGCTCCAAGGTCAGAGCTTCCTCGGGCTCTCTGGGTAACCTGGTTAGGTGATGCCATGCCCTCCTGGGGAAGAGTAATTGAGCTTATGAGTCTGAGGCACCGAAGGAGACATTACAAAAATAATACAACCAACTTCAATGCATTCAGAATTTGCAGGAAGGAGACCATAAGAAGTAACTTCACAGGGAAAGGAGATAATGATAGGTACCCATTCCTTTATGAAACAAAGAGAACAGAAACACAATCTGTATTACTGAAAGACAAAAAATATATTAAGACATACATCTGGTTAAATCACAAATATGTCACTCTGGCAAATACTCATGCAAAAAAGAAGAACAGAAAGCGAAACTGTGTTAAATTACTAACTTGGGTAACAAAAATAGCATGGTAATGCAGGCATGATGATGAGAAAGGTAGATGCCAAATGAACTACTAAGAGAGAGAAAATCTCAAGAAGTAATGTAGAAATAAGTAAGAGAAAGGCCAAGGAATCACAATGGAGAGAACAGCTAACAGATGCTACTGAAAAGACTGATGTGTTTAATGCCTTCTTTTGCCTTACTGCTCCCAGAAAGGGCACCTGTGTATAGGTAGCAATGAGACATCTACAAGAACTCAGGTGAGAATGGATCTTACTAGTGAGGGCTTGGATACTATTTACATTGTTGCAGACAATGGAAATTCATGTCATCATAGTTATAATACTGGCTAAAGAGGTCTAGGAGCCATAACAAATATCTTTGAAAAGTCACAGAACAGAGTGTTGTGAAAAACCGTGAGAAAAGTGCTTATCTTAAAAAAACCCCAAGAACAAAAGAATTAAACACAAAGTTCAGGAAATGGGGGAACATATAAGAGATTAATAACAGTCACCACAGATTTGGTCAGAACAGATTACATCAAACTATTTAATTTTCATGAAAGGCTAACATTTTCTATTAGGAGGAGAAGCAATTGATATGTTATATATTAATTCATTTACTGCCTTAGAAGTAGAGCTGAGAAACCTGGTCTAGAGGGTAACTAGGTGTGCAAAACCATATTCAGAAGTTAATTATAAGCAGCTCACTGTCCAACTGGAAAGATAAATTGAGTAGGATCCCACTGGAGACTGTCTCAGGCACTAACCAAGTCATTAATGAGAATACTGAATAATGAAATATGCAACATGCTTATTAAGTGCACGGATGACTGAGCTGCAGGGGCTTCAAGCTCCTTGTAAGCCAGGTCTAGAATTCAGACTGATCTCGCTAAACCAGGGAAGCGGAGCAGGGAAAAGAACGGACAAGGTTGTACACCTAGGTACATTCGGGATGGAGAATAACCAGAAGGGCAAAATTTTGTACAACAAGGTCTGCATACCAGATAGGGCTACAAGTGGAAACTAATGAACTGCATCCTACTGTACAGCAGTGAGCAGAGAGAAGGTTTTAAACAGAAATACCTTCTATAAAGCAGGTGCACCTCTTCGAGTCAGCGCTGGTGAGAACTCAGGCTGCTCAGTACAGCACCTGCTCTCGCTTTTCTAATGACACAGAGACTAACTGCACAGAGCCCGTAGCAACAGTTACAAGTTTAGAAGATGTGGCTTATGGGGAAGGTTGAAAGAAATGAGGTTAAAAAAGAGAAGTTTGGGATAGGTGAAATCACGGTAATGGTCTTCAAATATAAGCAGCAACTGCAAAGAAAAGAAGTGTGTGCACAGAGCAAGAGAACATGGGCATAAAATGCAGAAAGAGAAGTATTCAAGCGATAAGGAGAGTTAAGCATTGGACTACATTGTCTTGGAACGCTGTCAAGTTCCACTTAGCCTAAAGGTGAAGAACAGCCCAGAAAAGAGTTAAAAAAAAATGTTTGACTGGCATGGAAGTTATAATTGATCCTGTCCTGGGCAAGACAAGGAACATGAACTCGGGTCCCTTCCGGCACACGTCTACTCATGTATTTTAGCAATTCTAGTTTGTTTTATGAAAATAACTTACTTAAAGCATTTCAGTCATGGCTTCATTGAAAGCTGATCAGTCTACTGTTCGGATTCAAGAAACAGAATCAGAGAATCATAGAATGGTTTGGGTTGGAAGGGACCTTCAAGACCATCTAGTTCCAACCCCCCTGCCATGGGCAGGGACACCTTCCACTAGACCAGGTTGCTCAAAGCCTCATCCAGCCTGGCCTTGGACACTTCCAGGGCTGGGGCATCCACAGCTTCTCTGGGCAACCTGTGCCAGTGCCTCACCACCCTCTCCAGGAAGAACTTCTTCCTGATATCTAATCTAAACCTCCCCACTTTCAATTTAAACCCATTACCCCTTGTCCTGTCACTACAGGCCCTTGTAAAAAGTCCCCCTCAGCTTCCTCAGCCCCTTCAGGTACTGGAAGGTGCTATAAGGTCTCCCCGGAGCCTTCTCTTCTCCAGGCTGAACAAGCCCAACTCTCTCAGCCTGCCCCCATAGCAGAGGTGCTCCAGCCCCCTGAGCATCTTCGTGGCCTCCTCTGGACTCGAAATATATTCTTCCTTTACTGCTTTCCTTTTTCAGATAATCGTAAGAGCCACAGTCAATCTGCAGCTGGGAAGATAACAGTCTTGAACAGTGTTTGTAGTATTAAAATGTGAAACAGCGACAGACTGTATTTTGGTATATACGTAGAATACTTCACTAAACATATTCATTTTGCAATTACGTGGACTGCCAGTTCTAGACTAAGTTATCGTCTCTGCTGTGTCCTTCTGGGTGCAGATTACAGTGGCTGAAGTCTTTCCAGCTGCATATATTTTGTGAAATGGGACTGCTGTGAATAGTAATGCCAACCGCCAGCATATCATGAGTAGGTATGTGCCTGCACGTAGTTGCCGTGCCTCGTGTCAATGTAAATAATAACAAAATGTTCTCAGAATGTTTTCTTCTTAACCTCAGGTTTCCTTTCCTGGGAAAAGGATTTTTTGGTAACAAAAGGGCTCGATTGTGGAAACTACATGCTAGCTCTCAAATCTACTTGTCTCAGAACTGGCTGGTCGGCTGGAAGACATTTGAATTGATGGAATAGAAAGAGGCAGCCATAAAGATAATCCAGAGATCTCTGAGCTATGACTCGTTTACAGGAAAAGTACTTCAAGAACTTTAGGAATTTTAAACAAGTTTAGCGTGCTGTGGGCAAACATCCAAGATACCATTAATTTGATGCAGACTGAAATGTAGGTGCCCTGGAAAATGCACTTCTTCTGCTTCGCCAAGCATTTAGTTGACAGGCTCCTCCAAACAAGGATTTTGTTTCACAGTTAAATACTTCGGCAGTACTTTGTGTTGCAAGCTTAGCACACACTGGGCTTGCTTCCGCAACTTCCTGTCGCTGAGGGTCAAAAGTCTTTTAAATTAGTGGATGAGTAGCAGAGTTTGATGGTGCAAACACCATACAATCCCAGACAAGCTGGGTTCTTATGAAAAAATCTGGGAAAATAATACTCTGATGTTTTAACCCTGAAGACGAGAACAAACAAATTTTATAAACTAAAAATACGGCTGTGACTCCAGCTGGATTTGTTGATACTATTAACACAATTTGGGTTTTTTTCCCCTAATTACTGTTACTCAGGTTTTGCTGTTATTGAAATAGGGTTGAAAGCAGTATTGTATCTTTCTCTTCCAGTGTCAAGTGAAGAAAATTAGTAGGCTATCTTTTGAATACAGGGTAAGCACAACAGCAAATGTGGTGTGCCTGCCAGGATTTGGAGTTAAACAGGTACTTTACAGGTAAGGTTTAAGTCTTTCATTGACAGTATTATTTAGTTAGTTTTCAGTAGTGTGAGACCAGTTCCTTTTTACCTCTTGAAGAGACAAAGAGGACAAAGAACTCCCTGAACACTTGAAGAGGGCTATTAACCTCTAGGACTGACAAAAGGGCAGAAAAGCTGAAATCCACATCAGGAAGAAATACAGGATTCATTTTCAGAATGGAAGTGTCATGCATTCAAGTCAGCACTGCTTTTTTCCTTTCAAATGGTTATTCATAATTTAAAAGAAGGCCTATTACAGTGGTGTAATGTTTAAAGAAGGATACAGTGTGCAGCTAGAGAAGACATGCACTTAACTCAGGTGGAGCACAGATGAAACAGGATGGAGAAGAGATTCTTACTGTATGACACTTCTTTCTTGTAAGGACAGATTTAAAGATATGAAAAGATCTTGAGATCGTATATTTATTAGTGGGGTACACATTGCTAATAAAAAATCGTGTACACTGAGATCATGGATACTTAAATTCTTCATGAAGTTACCTGGCTGCTGTGTACACTGCTGCAGCATGCTAACATCCTGCAGCTGCCTCATATAAAGCAGGAGAAACAATTAACATAAGGCTTTAAAACTAGTCACAGTTAAAAGCAGGTAGTCCTTCCTCAGAACAGCTTGTACTTTGACTCCCGGTTTTTCCTTATCTTTTTGCAAAATTCTTATCTTTGTGGGGATACACTTTTAGGAAGGAGAAATGTATTTCTAGTCTTCAGAATCAGACTCTGGAATTTATGTTATATGATGGCAGCTGGATATTTCTATTCAGATGATTAGAGAATATTTAATAATGTTGACAGTTACATGGGCATGGGCAGATTTCAACAGTTTGAGATGAAAGAACAGATCTACAATAGTTCGAGATGAAAAGCGATTGTTTCAGGCTGTTAGTAAAGTACTAAAGAAAATACTCTTTAAAGTGGCCCTACATTTTAAAACGTTACCGGTACTACTATGAAGAACCATCCTAACAGCTACACACAATCTAAACATTCCGATTTTGTGTCTCAAATGCATTTCCTCACCTTAAACAGGGAAGAGAACACATGAAATGTATAAACTGCACAGGAACCATCGGAGTCGCACATGAGCTGGTTGATATGACTACGCCAGGCTTCTTCTGCATCATCACATGCTGCCGGCTGAAACGCAGCAAGGATGGCAGAAAAAAATGGCGAGGGAGGAGGGGAGGCATTTCTATCAACATCTGCAAAACTGAAGAAGAAAAAAAAATAAACTGTGATGAGAGGAGAATACCAAGAAGGTGGCAGATAAAATACACTGTGACAGACAAATATCATCGCAGGACCAATTACACATCTTTCAAAAAATACTAATGAACTTCCAAATGACATTTAAAGGCTGGCAAAGATGTTGGCTACAATGAGAAAAACCTCCAAATGAGAATCCCTATATTCAGGCCACTATCATCTATCTTCCTCCATCCCAGAATACTCGAATTTTTTTATTGTACCATCATTTGGAGGAAGAAGGTTGAAACTTCACAGGAGGATCGAGCCCATGAAGGAAAATTCCTTGGAAACCTTGGTTATAACAATGCACAGCAGAAGTACTTAGAACCTTAATGTGTACAAACGTTACCTATACTACCCTGTTTGGATTCCCCCCAGTGTAATGGATGAGAGAAGATCCATCGCTTCTCAACACTGTTCTTAGTACGGAGCCTTATTTTGGCATTCCACGGTCAGTGAAACAGGCTGACCACCATTTTTAAAGGGTGGTACATATATGTATGTACAAATCATATCTTGTTTTTCCTAGAAGAAAAATATTGTTGGGCTTTTTAATTTTGACCTGTGTGATAATTATGCTGGGAATTAGGGCACCGTCTTCTCACTGTTGTAAACTCATGAGAATTTTATAACTCCCATGGCCAAATCAGTCATTCCGTTCACTAACACCTTGTTACCACGTTGCTGTACAGTGTAAAAGAAATTTTGTGAATAATAGCATATACAAGTACCTAGCAAGAGCAAATTGCTCCAGCCTGTCAACTTTCTCTTCAGTCTCTGTCATGTCCAGGCTAAGGCTATCACTGCATTCAAATGCTCCAGGGAGTTCATTTGTAGATCCCGAAAGGTCATCCTCATGGACTGCCGTATCTTGTTCTTCAGGTGCAGCCTCAACCTAGGGGAGTGAATGATGATGTCTTAGAAAACAGCAAATTAATAAGCTAATTTCACGAATCAATAGAAAGCATTTAATAAAAAATCCCACCTGACAACGCGGTAAATTGCACAGACATAACGTCACAGGTTATAAATGACAGGATTCAAGTAACACTTCTTCAAAAATACTGTATTTGCTTAACTTGCTGTCTTGGATCAATATTATTTTTAAGGCATTTCTTCAACTTAATTTGTCTAGCAAAGAATTTCAGATTTCAATGCATTTGGCAACATAGCACGGAAGTATTTTTTCAGGAAGAACAACAGGGTTCTTGTTACTGTCAGGCTGTCCTTGCCACTTATCACTTCATAGCCTCCACGAGTCTATTAAAGCCTCTCAAAATACATTGAAAACAGTCACTGTCTGGAAGACTGTATGCATGTTTAGAATTAAGAATTATTTTTAGCACGTCATTTACACAAAACCTTCCATTCAAGAGGAATTCAAAGCATTCTACAGGCCATTAAAGGGATTATGCTTCTATTATTTCCTTTCATCCATTAGCACCTAAAGCTCTTGATTTCTCTTTGAAACCTTCCAATTTTGCTTGCATTTTTAGTCTGAACAAATTTTGTTCCAGTTTTAATCTTTAGGCTTTTGTCTGCATCATCCATAGCATCCTGCAAAGCAATTCCTGTAGGACTGACTGACTGCAGTGGGTAGCTCAAACTCTTTATCCTTTCCTTTTGGGGTAATCTCATAAGATGTGTGTTTGTGCACATGTGTCTATGTGCATGTACATACATTTGTTGGGAGCTGGCAGGGAAGGAAATCCATGGCAAGTGGAATTAACAGAGATAAGTGGCCCTCTGCAGGTTACCAGACCTGGTTGGATCCTACAGATTTGCATTGCTAAAAAGATCCTGGGGATTTGAATTTCTAAAAATCAAACAGGACTTGTGTCAGAAAGGACAGGATCTGAAATTAAGTAGTAGAAAGGTTTTTTGGTTTGGTTTCTAAATGAAAGGGATCAGAATATTCCTGAGTCCAGGGTGGATGAAATGAATCAGAGCACAAACCATCTTCAAAGAGAAATGAAAGCTACATGGCTGAATTACCAGGGCAGGAGCCAGAGCAGTTGGCAAGAAGCATACAGGTTTCATGTTTCTTCAAGAATCAGTTAGCATTAACTACTTCCAAATATGAAATATTAGCATGAAAGAACCATTGATTTATTCACTGCAATGACAGTGTTTGCATGAGGAAAACATATTTTGATAGGATACAGTAAGGGAGGAAGAAAGAGGAAGCAAACTCCCCCACACACACAGACTGGAGTCCAACACAATGCCCAAAAAGCAAAATAAAAAAGTGGACACTGGATATTCCTGCAGGATTGAAGTACACTTCCAGAAATCAGTGAGTTCAGATCACTTGAAAAATATAATTAAAAAAAAAATATCTTCTGAATCTTTGTATCATGCTATTATCCATCACTGCCTTCTAATCCCTTACAAATACTATCTTAATTATTGTGATGACTACCTTTAATAGAAAATAAATTTAACTAACTTCATATCATCTACAGTAATACCTGTATTTTGGCACTGAAACATTTGAGAACAGGCCTCTTAACCAGTCTGTTGCTCTCATTCACTGCATATATTTAAAAGTTTAGGTGATATTTTTGGTTTTGCTTATGACGCAACAACTAAATGTTTTTGTACAGCACTAAGGAAGTAACAAAAATTTTCCTCTGCATTGCTGATGTACCATCAGCTCTCTGAAAACAAGAACTCAGAGGTAAAAAGAAACAGGAAAGAGCTCAGATTTTGTGTTATCAAAGTAAGTGAAAATTATTTAGGTGCCACTTTCAAGATTTCTGGCTAAAACCTGGATTAATTCTTTCTTAAAATAAATATAAACACAGGCATTTTAACTTTGTTTATACCAACTCCAATTTGTTTTGAGTAAAAATACAGATGCATGCATACTAGATCAAAATATCTTTGAGGCAAAAAAACACTAAGAAGGCATTCTCTGGGAAGTTTATCAATTCAACCATCTTTGTAACGCTGGCAAATCCCTGTCCACTTGGGTTATGTATTTCACCAATATCAAACCTGTCTCAGGACTAGTTAAATTTGCCTGTCAGTACTCCAAAAAACTGCTGTGATTTTGCATTCCTCACTTATTTACTTTTTCCAAAGCTTTTTTTTAAACTAACACAATATACTGGGACATTACAGATATTTTCACAGTAAAGATTCCAAAGCCCCAGGCATACATGAAACTCATGCACTGTGGATTTGCAATTCTTAACGTACATACCAATCGCTGCTGCAGCTGGATGCATGAGGTCAGCCGCAGTCGTACCCGCAAACGGATCTGTTCTGACTGCAGCTTCCTGAACTGAAATTCTGCCAACTTCTGCCGCTTATGGTTGTTACATGGTAACTTGTCTACCAACAGTTGTTTTGACAAATAATAATGAGTTTATCTTTTCCACAACCATTATCGTGAGGTTCCCCTCCTTTCCTATCCTTACCCACATTTCCCTCCTCCTATCTTTTATTGCTCCTGGGGAGGTTTCTGACAGTTTGTTCAATATTCAGAACCATTTCAACCTCCTTTTCTATGACCTCTTTACTAGAATTTTACATTACTTCTGTTATACGCTGTCCTAGTAGTACTGTAGCAATTTTTTATATGGCTGCATTTGGAGGGGACCAAGGGCAAGAGCTGGAGTGAAAGCTGATGATTACCCAAGACAGCTGTGTTTTTTCCCTGCGTCATGCTGCAGAAGCCACCCAATTCAGACATGACAGAAAAAGCTGTACTGGTAAGGCAGCGGTGTCATAAAGCCACTGACCCACCACATCCCCTGGATTGTATTTCTGGGGAGACCGTGAGAGGAGTAGGTATACCTGATCTCCCACAAACCAGTATCAGTAAACAGAAAATTAAAGAAACCATCCCCCCACTGATAATCATTTACCAACTGCACATTACATTCATCTTCTGATACAACTGTCTGAAATAAACTGTGCTGAACACGGTTGCTGTATCCTTGCAAATCCTGCTTTCCCCCCTCCCCGCCCCAAGATGGCTTAATCTTGTGGTCATGAATTTAAAATTTCTGAGTCTCTGCCAAGAGGCAAGAACTGAATCCAGTGCACACAACTGTACAATAGGTTCCCACATACAAAAAAATCTCAGAGAACACAGGCATACACCCACTACATGAGTTGGCATATTGTTCTTTTAAATCAGCATGAAGAACGAGAGAGTATTCCCTTAGGGTTGTAACTTGTAACCAGTTCATGAATTTGCCTTCTGATGAGCTTATAGTACCTTGGTGCACATGGAGTGCAATATGCTTAAGAAATAATAAATACAAACTGTTAATAAAGAAAGAGCAAGTAGAAAGGAAAGGGTATGGATGTGCAGGAGCATATGAATATATTGCAGTATGCCATTATGTACAGAAAGTCAGAATCAACTTGCTTTCACAGATCAAACCCTTCATGAAAGTGTAAGTAAAATAAACTAAGCGTTATGTAAAATACGCAGCAACTGAAAGTAAAAACGCGTTCACCTTGGAACCTTCAGACACTTGGAGATTATTCATATCAGGCAAAGACACATCGAAGCTAGACGTTCCTATATTAAAATGATGAGGGTCTGCTGAGGTTGTGTCACACGATGCAGAAAGTGAGTCAATATGATTTGTGTCCTCAGATGGGGAAGACAACAAAAGCACAGAAGGACTGAGTATACATCTCCCCCACCACACACTGCTTTCACACTCACGCAAAGCAGACCTTACGTTGTCTTAAAGTAGGGTGACACTGGCTCTCTCAGTCTGTACATGCAGGCACACTTAACCCTTCCAATGCTACTATCGTATGCAAACATCCCAGAGGTGAACAATGAAAATCTGACCGTTTCCCAAACTGGAGTCTTGTCCTATTTCTTTAAGTATTATTAGATACGTCAGGAAAGATTTACTGGTGGCGATTTGTGCAAAAATGTCATATAGTACTTTATGGAAAAAAGGTTAACTAATCAGATCTGACATTTCTGTGTTTCAAACCTTGCATGAAAATTCCTGTTTACATTTGCAAATAAGGGAAAAGCAAGCTGGGAGAAAATAGGGCATTGAGTGTCACCCCCCAGTTTCAGCTGACTGCACTGCACCTGGGTGAGAGGCACCTAAAAGCCCAGCTTATTTGAAAAGATAACCCCATCTATTCTTAAATTGCAAGTTTGCAACTTACTAGCTCTGAGTTCTCCAAGATTTGGCTGGTGGTCAGGTCCTCCTCCTCGGATGACTCATCGGAGTCCTCGTGGTTGATTTTGTTCAGGCTGGGCGTGCTCCCCGAAAGCTGGCTCTCCTCCAGCAGCTGCATGTCACACTTGTCCAGGCTATCCAGGGACCGTCTGCGTACTCCCCAGTTGAAGTTGTCCATGCTCTCACCCTAAAATCACATACAGGGTCAGCTTCCTTTGAAACTCGTCATATACAAACCACTACTCATTAGATCAGAGTTAGCTCAGGAAATATTTTTATGTAAAAATAAAATACAAATGATATAAACATTATTTTGTTAAGCAGTAAGGTAACAGGAGCATTTGAAATTTTCCAGCGTTTCACCTGGAGATCAGGGCAGAAGCATGGAGATGACAGTTAAATGAAGATTCATTCTTTTCAGTATTAGATTTCTTCATGCATTTGCCGATTTAAGAATTTGGTTTTGTAAGTCCACATATGAACACACCTCAATACCAGTAGAGCAATGACAGGCAAAAGAAAAGTTTGGAAGCAATTTAAAAGGATTTTTCCATGATGTTTAAAAATATTAGGAGCACAGTTCATAGCAAGGGTTCAATTGCAAAACGTGTTAAAGATTTTAGGTTCTTTTCATTATATACATAACAATAGTGATGAGTTAAGGTAGATTTGAATGAACCCTTCATTTAGCACACAAAATACACCAGCTCAAGCAGCACACCTTCAACACTTTTATTCTAGGCCCGTATTGCTTATGTTTATAACTTGAATTTATTTGAATTATTTGGAACTATACTTGGAGAATAACCGATGAGCGTTGCCTGAGATTTCACCTTTAGAATGGGACACAGTCAAATGGACCAAACTTTTTAATATTGAATTTCAGTTCTGATCCCACGTGCAGTTGCATAAGGCAAATTGCATAACTATTTGTTAGGCTGGTGAACTGATACAAAGGTCACTTAATTTCCTTCATGTATAAAAATGACAATCAGTTTTCCACCGTTTTTTCTTTTGTGCGCTCTATGTATTTCAGTGGACGGAATCCCTTCTCCCTAATTCTCTTGCTCCCTTCTTCAAGTCTAGCCAGGTTCCCCTCCAACAAATGCAGGAAGGAGCATGTCCACACCTGCTCCTGTCACGGACCCGCCGAGGCCAAAGGGGCCTTACGCAGCATGAAGGGTCCACCCAGAAGTACACAGTTGCAGTTTTGGGTACTTTACCTAGGAGAGAGTCCCCAAGGAAGGAAATTTACAGAGAAAAATGTTTCTTTTTAAGGTTTAGGGCTGACTGCTTAGGCAAGACTCTGTAAGATGCAACACTCAACAAGCAAACCAGCTGCTGAAAACTGAAGTTGACAGCGATCCTTTAAATATGAATTTGGCAAAAAAACAGTTCTGACAAAAGAAAGTCCTAAACATTATAATCAAATCACTGATTATGGAAGGCGTATATCCTGGGCTCATGCAGATTAAAATTATGTGCAATCATAGAGAAAGAGGTCTCAGTTCAGTAAGGTACTTAAGCAGATCTACAATTTTAAACACTTGTGTAATCCCCATTCAGGACTACTCAGACATTTACTGAATGGGGACTAAACTGCATGAAGTGCAGTTAAATCAACTGCAATCTTACCTCCTTAACAATCAACAAACCTGCACAAACAGATCCTATTTTTCATCACTGCCCTTTAATGCAATGGACTTTGGAATATGATTAGAAGGAGGGGAAGTTCAATTTCATGACACTAAGCTCACCGTTCATGAACAAATATGAGGAAAAAAAGAAAAAATATATTTTAGGAGAAATTCAATCCAGAATGCAAGAACTGTAATCCACAAGATCATACGGAACTAAGGAATGCACTATATTCAAGAGCAAATGAACATGAAATTGTTACAAAGCCCAACACATTATTGGCAGAACCCTATGTTTTCACTTTGGGACTGGCATCACAAGACAGTATCGTGCGGGAAGAAAACAGAACACACCTAAGATTTAAGAAATTAGGTCTCTTTAAATCATAAAAATGACTGTTCAGTTCCCAGCTATTTATTTTAACAAATTCCATGGCTGTCCATCCTCCCCTACAAAGGCTAGAGGGCACATGCAGCAATGAGACATCCTCCACAAACACATCAGTTACTGAACTAACAAATGACAAAATGACATAAATAAGCAAGCAAGCATAGATGACCATCATAGAATCATAGAATCATAGAATGGTTGGGTTTGGAAGGGACCTTAAAGATCATCCAGTTCCAACCCCCCTGCCATGGGCAGGGACACCTTCCACTAGACCAGGTTGCTCAAAGCCTCATCCAGCCTGGCCTTGAACCCTTCCAGGGATGGGGCATCCACAGCTTCTCTAGGCAACCTGTGCCAGTGCCTCACCACCCTCTCCAGGAAGAACTTCTTCCTGATAACTAATCTAACCCTCCCCACTTTCAATTTAACCCCGTTCCCCCTTGTCCTGTCACTACAGGCCCTTGTAAAAAGCCCCCCCCAGCTTCCTTGTAGCCCCTTCAGGTACTGAAAGGCTGCAATAAGGTCTCCCCGGAGCCTTCTCTTCTCCAGGCTGAACAAGCTCAACTCTCTCAGCCTGTCCCCATAGCAGAGGGGCTCCAGCCCTGCGAGCATCTTCGTGGCCTTTTCTGGACTATCATCACACCCTGATCCTCACAATGCCTAGTACAGCTAATTGTAAACTTTGCAGCCCATGTCTGTGGGAATATTTCTTGTTGCAGTTTTGTTTTGCAATGTCTTAAAGAAGGGTGTAGGCAAAAGGATTGTGGAACTGCATAGTAAGGCACTATTTCCACATGGTTGTATCTTTTAGAGCATAGGCATTTTGAGACAAAGATATTGTGGGGGTTGTGTTTGAATGTACAAACTATCAGAAACAAATATGCAAAATATTGTTGCTGATTTTTGTATCATTTGTACAACTCATTATAATTCTCTATCATTTCAGTTCTCTCTATACATTGATAAACTGCAAGTTTAGATCCCAAACTGGCAACCACTGATGCGCCTTGTCAGTTTTCTTCACAGGGTAAATGAGTCCACCGAAGTTGGTAGGAGTATAAAGGTGAATTAAATTAAGCTGTATAAATTTTTAATTAAATTCAGGCTGGTAGGCAATGATGAAAAATTTCTGAAGATGTGTCAGGTACCAGCTTTAGCAAGATGCCAACAGGAGTCAATATACCACAACTGAAAAGCTGGAAATGATATATAATTTGCTCAGGGAAACAAATGGCCCAGCTTTACTGTATTATAAATAATGAAGTTCTTTTGTTTCTACGTATTATTTATGCACAAAGATAAAAGAAGAAATGGCTCAACTTGAAAAAGGCTGATACTAGAATTAATATATTTCAGAATTTGTGAAGACTGTTGAACGTGTCAAAGCCAAACTGAAGCAGAATTTTTTAAAAAGACCTCAGAAATATTTCTAACACAAGACAAAAAATGAAGCACCTGTCAGAAGTGCAAGGACACGCACACCCACCCACCCACGCACACACTGAAGAGGGGGCGGGCAACAAGAAAACTAGGATGTTATTCTATTATACAAATCTGTGAGAAGGCACAACATACGCTGGCACAGCTGAGTTCACATAGCATTCTTACCTGAAGTTCCTGGGTAGCAGATACAACAGACAGAAAAACAAATAGAAAGAATCTATGTAAAATTACTGCATTAAAGACATCACACACAAACATTTGCCTACAATTGCAACTAATATAATCACAGAAACTTCAACTCTTCAGCCTATCTTTTAAGTTTGAAAATAACCATTATCTCCTTTTGCATCTTTATGAAATTTGAAACAAGTACAATTTGTGGCCTGGGGATGATACACACATCACTGGCCTGTTTAAATCATGGGTTTTTTGGAAAGACTGTGTTCTTGCTACTTTAAATTTTCTAATGCTGTTTTATTCCTGTTTATGAATACATCAGATTCAGACCTGACATAAATGATACAGTTTCAACTCAGTCATTAGAGCCTCTTACACCAGGTCTGAATTTGGCTAAAACACCTATTTATTTAAAACAGCAGTAACTCAGTCTGGACTAACTCGTGGAATGAAAGGTCTTAGATCCATGGCAATCTAAAAACTGTATGAATTAAAAAACTACATTTTTAATTTTATTTCACATAAAACTAGAGATGCTTAGAATCTGTTCCACATCTGACTTAAGACAATTGTATATTGATTAATTTAGGCCTCAGTCTTGAAGTTAGCCACACATATAAACCAAATCTTTGCAAGGTCTCAGTCCATGAAAGTAATTTTGACAGTAAATGATCTGCACAATTATATGTAATCTGTATACGGTTTAATTGGTGAAGAGAAAGAAGAGGTTCTTGAATTTCACCGGACAAAAAGTCATCATGTGGTATTTAGTCAAAATTGCAGTTCCAAGCCCTTGTAGTATCTTGAAAGCATTTAAGACACAGAAATGACTGCAGTTGATACACTTTTTGACAAACAACCCAGCATTGCTGTTTTATCATTTATCATTGATTGGAACATTAAAGCTCCTTCACAGTATCTGGCTAATGCATTTTCAACCTTTGATACCAACTGTTTTTTTGGGGTATTTTTTTAGCGAAGTCATGGGCTGCTGTGAGGCAAAATTACTGTATTTTAATATAGAGATTTCTGACTTGAAAATAAGGACTCTGCAACATCTCTTTCCATTCTTTCGTCCTTTCTCTTAATTGGAAAAAAAAATCAGATGTACGTGAGTTGACACCTGAGGGGTCTGTAAAATTATTTTATTATTGTAATTCAGCTAGGGAGAAAACTGATTATTTCTTCTTGTACACATGTTCTTCTCAGGGCTGACAGCGATGCCTGCGAGAATTCATGTTAATATCAAGGCCAGATTATGACAAGACAATTTATTAAACTGTTAGGTTTGCTGAACATCTGCACCTTAAGTACTTCAAAGGAACTAACAATTTCTGAACTTTTAAATAGCAACAAAACTGTTAGACTTGTTTGGCAATGGATATTCATTTTTGGTCTTTCCCGCCTAAACAGAAAGAAATACTCTAAGTTTGATACAAGCAAGTTTAAAGGGTGTAGCCCCCCAAAAATCCAGCACTTTAACTTTTTCCCTTCAGCAGTTTCAGCTCAAGGTGAACTGACAAGCTTCACCTGTCAAGACTTGACCGGAGCCCTCAGGGTTGTGTTTAGCTCCTGTACGAAATGATGAAATCACGGACAGCTAAGCAGAGTGGAAGGTACGTCTCTGAGCATTAGTGATTTCATCAGCAGTTGCAGGAGTAAAAACAGCCTGAAGGCCTGAATCTGGAGAGTTACATTTGAATCAACACATTTGGAACAATTATTTCCTCATTTTATGGGTTTTTACTTTGAAAACATATTTTTGTTAACAATTTAGACCTTTAAAGAATGTATTTTAATTAAACTAACTTAAAAGTAAATTCACTAAAAAGGTACTAGAACACAGGCTTTATCTCCCAGTAACAGTTTTGCAGTGTTTCCTAGAGTCAGAAAGGAAGGGTGTGGTAACTTCTTACTGTTATGCTACTGAAATAAACACTAAGGGAACATTACAAATAATCTGAACTCAAAACTAAGTTTATAGTTACACAGTTAAAAGTTTTAGGTTATGAGAAGAGTATAGTGTTTAGAAGAAAGAGTATCAAACTGTTCTAATAAAAAAGCTGTTTCAGAGAAAATATACCGTACCTCCCCATCTTCCAGCTCAACATCTAGGAAATCAAAGTCCCTAAAGACTCTGAATTGTTGTTCACTGTTGGAATCATCCATGTTCTCCTGCTCCCTTGTTCCGTCTTCTGAAGACACCAAGCTCGTCTGGTGCTCAATCAGATCCAAATCACCACAGGAGGAAAAAATTACCTACAATTCAAAGGATTTCTGTTGTAACAAACTGTTCCCTCTGGTTGTTTCTTCCTAAAAGCTGTAATTGGTTATTCGGAAGACTGTATTTCCAGTACACACCTAATTCCTTCACTGAGTATTTTTAGAACACACTTTATTATTTATGTTGGACAGGTGCCTTCAGATTAAACTTGTACAAAGAAACAACTCCATACTGCAGGAACGCGTCCAAGAATATTACAGCTACCTCCTAATGGCTGCAGATTGATGTTGCCTGGATGTTTGTATATATTTAGAAGAACAAAATTTAGACAACTTAGCAAAGAAAATACTACCAAGGGGGTGAGGCAGTAAGTCAATTAAAAAACCTCTAGTGAAAAACGTTCAAAAATATGTCAAGATTAGAAAACACAGCAAGCGATCATTTTTCCTTGGCTACCAAAAATAATTATATCTGCAATTTAGTTACGAAGACACAAAGGTCTGTGTCTGGCAGAAATGAAGGACCAGCTCACGGTAACGCAAGTGACATACAACATATTCAAGAACATTCAGAAATTTTCCTTTCTCTGTAGAAAATATTTAATAACTATTTTAAGAGCTTCCTATTCTGGATGATCTATTGCCCACTTCCTGGCACCAGATAATATTAATTTTTAAAGAGTAACATTAGAACTACTATCTAATGGAAAAATCAGACACCCCCTCCCTCAGTTTTCCTTCTGTAATTTAATTTTTTACTTTATAAAGGCTCTAGCTTGGTAATACCAGAGGTCATTACTCTCTGCCCACTGACCTAGCATTAGTAAAACCTATAGCATCACACACCTCTCACAGCAAAACCGTGTGTAGCTCCAGAAAGTAAATCACCTTTAAGTGAGAGGGCCATTCACTCACTGGTCTATATGCTGAGAAGCGCAGTGTGGGCCAGTACAAATAACAATAATAGCCACGTGACATGAAACGACACAAATCAGGTCAGCAACTCTGGGAAACAAAGTCCTTTGCTTTTAAAGTTTAGGACACAATGAAACAAAGAAATGGTCAATACAAGGTTACTTACTGAAGGGTTTTTACTCAGCCCAACTTCCTGACCACACAGAGAAAGGACATGCACCAGCTTTTCCTTTGTCCTTTTCTAGAAAACAAGACGTTTCTCAAATGAGCATTTTTTAACCACCCATTCTCCTGGTGGCTAGAAACATACATTAACAATTTTTAATTAGGAGGAATCAACCAAAGAATTAGTCATTAAGTGCTCAAGGGGTTGTTTTCAGAGCAACTCTGCATACAAGGAAACACAAAAATTGCTGTTAATGATTTTGTTGTTTAATAGTTTTAAATTAGCCTATTAAGCATAATAAAGAAACACTGGATTCTGTTCATCACTTCAAAAGGACAGTTCAGAAGCTCCTAAGTAAGCACACGCATTATTATTTTTTTGCAGAATTGGTGCCTGAGACACTGCTATATAATGTGCTGTATTAAAAAAAAGGCAATAAATACATTTATTCTGCATGCTTTTATTTTAACTGGCAGATAACCAAAATCAGTAAGGTAATCAAATATCACTTTTTGGAAAACTGTTCCAAAGAATTATTTTTATCTGATTTCCCAAGAAAACAACACTTAGAAAGATGCATATGCTGTCTATCTGCTCTCCTTGCTACCATCTGAACTCACCTGTCATTCTCAGCTAAATCTGACCTAGACTTAGAGCTCTTGAAGAGATGCATTTCCTGCAGGTTGAGAGAAAAAAACGGGCAGCACAGAAGACAGACATAACTCATTCCATTTCTGAGTCTAAACAGACATTCAGCACAGTCTGTCAGATGCTGGGCTGCCACTGTCCCAGCCAGCCTGGAGCACTGCACAGGGCACAGAGGCCACAAGCATTTAAGGACCTTGGTGCGCGTTAATTCAGCTGCTCCCAGTGCAACTGGTTCATGAATAGTGGGCTACTTAAAATGAGTTTACCTGAGAGTACTGGGGTCTCTTCCAGCTCACAGGAACAAGGACATTGGAGTTAGATCCTGATGAGGTTGAAGAAGTGCTTCTGGTGACAGCCACTGCCCTGGGTTTCCCATCTCGTCCAGAAGAACTCTGCAGCTCATCATACCGTCTCCCAATAATTGGAGTCTTAAACAAAGAGTAATTATTCGCTAGTATTATGCTCCAGGATGAACTTACCCTGGTCATATTGCTTCAGCTGCAGGAGAAGATTACTCTGAAGGCCATACGGTGGTAAAACAAGGAGTGCACCAAATCACTTGGTACGTACGTTATTTTCCACTGTGAACGTCTCAGTAACAATTGCCTTACCTAGTAGCCACTTCTTATGTTCATGAACACCTAATACCCAAAGCAACTGCCAAGCTAGTTTCTAACATAAGAACCAGCAGAAAACCCAGAAAGCTTATGAAATTTATTTCAAATCCACATTTCTTGCGTATGTTTTTCAATGGGTTTTTCCTAGGAGCGCTGAACAAACACTCTGGCCCTGTTCCAACAAACACTAAAATGCTTTCTTGGATTGACAATAGGATGCTCAGCACTTTATAGAACTATACCTACATGATACAGCAGGAAGAAACTCTTTATACAAATAGGACAAGATGCCTTTTTATTCGTGTTTCCTTTTAACCTCAAATTCTCACTGTTATCTATATGAAATAGTCTATAATGCTGCAAACAGACTTGCAGGTTCTCAACTATAAATAAAGTCAGTTGCCCTTTTAAAGTCAATAGGACCATTCACTTCTATTAAGGTAAAAGTTGTACTGGGTTTCCAGGATAAAGACTGCTCTAGAAGAGTCCAGTCAGAACTCAGGCAGTACTTCCTTAAAGGACATACATCTGCATTTAAGTGTTACAGAGAACATGGGCATCCAAGTATAAAATGCTCGGAAGGGGAAGGGGTATTTTATACATATTGTATATTTATATATTACAGTTGGCATAATTGCAGCACAGCTTTTCCACCAGATAATTTTAAGTACAACTAGTAACTCCTTCACAAAAACATAATCTAGTAAAAATCCAGAAAGAGCCCTCTAGCATGGGTCGTTAAATATGTCACTGTGAACTGAAAACAATTTAAGAGACTTTCAGTTTGGTAATTTTCCTCTCTTCCTTATTTTTCAGCTTTCTTGAGGAGCTGCAACACATGTTTTGGGATTATCACATAACAGAATTAATGTGTTGAGTAAAAGAATTACAAACAGTACCTCTGAAATATCAAAATGAAACTCTAAAGTCTTCCCTGGTAGCTCCTTGGAGGCACTGTTCCACACTCGATGTATTTCCATTTTGGAAAGATCGCTGTGTTGATAGGATGGCAGAACTAAACTAGCAGAACGAGAAACTACCAACTTCAGGATATTCAAGGCTTCTCTCCAGTGAATGCTCTAGAAATAGGTATATTTAATCAGCAAACAGAAACAAATTTTCACACGCATTCAAGATTATTTACATTTTTCAGACACATTTTTTGCCACATAATAAAAATGTGGAATTGGAATATTACTGTTCTTTCTCCCTCTTGGCTAGTGACAAGGGTACGTACTTGCAGAATAATTTCAGCAGCAGAGACCAAGACTTTCCTAAGGTCTCATTGTTAGGGAACTGGCCTGCCACCTGGGAGATCCGAGTGCAAGGCCAGCTTGGCAAAGGATTTATAATCTCCTACCTGAATGCCTTAATTAAGTTCCTATGTTAATATAAAGAAGACAGGGTATTTACCTGTACATATTTTTCAATTGTTTTTAGCACTTCCATGTTAAACTGTTTCACAGGAATAGCTGACAGGTCCATATAACTAAGAAGACTGTAGATCATCTGTAAGAGGGACTGTTGCATACTAGGAAGGCCTTTTTCTAGTAGCTGTTAAAAAAAAAAGAAAATAACTAAATTTTGGGACATTTCTTGTTATGGCAAAAGCTACTAGCTCCATGACTACTATTTGTACTGTTACTGTCTCTTCACTCCCTGATTTTGCAATGCCATTTTACAGTCATTTTACAACTGCAAAATAAAACAGAGCTTTAAGTTGGGAGCCAAATGCTAGCCTGTTTTAATAATGAAGCATACATTTTATATATACCTGCCCTAACTTATCCAGAAAACACATTCAGCAGTTGAGTAAACTGGCAGGTAAAATTTACACTGTAATTGGGAAAGCACATCCAATAAAAACAGGGGAGTATCTTTTTATTTCTATCTTTGGTGAAAAGTCTGAGAAAAAAGAAAACACGCTGTGGAAACAAAACTACTACTATTCAGACATCAATATATATTTATCCAAATATACTTCACTGCCAGTGCTCACTGGCTAGAACTGCCAAGGAAACATTTTATGTTAAGGAGGAGATGGAGTCCCTGGGCTCTCTTACCGTAGAGGCTAATACAAAGAAGGGCTTGATCTAAATCCCGGAATTTTGGAACACCTGAGTGTAGATCCCGGAATACGGCCACGAACCTTGGAAATGCAACTCTGCTCATATATATCCATGACAGTAATTCAGGAGGTGTACAGTCAGACATGCTATGTTTGCACATGTGCGTGAAATATCTCAGCTGCAAATTTCCTGGAAGGTAGCACGTTCTTTCACTGCTGGGAGGCACAATTCCACCCCACACATTTCAGAGGCACTCAAATGTTATTGCTGGAGGTTACCAGAGGCTCAAGACTAGACTCTATCCTTCTGTTCAGGTCGACAAGAAGGTTCTTCTAACACTGGTGACTAGAGTTATTAGGATCTAGAAACCAATTACTTGTAAAAACTCTATGCTGCCTCACATCATCCATCAGAGGAAAATTTCAGCTGTTATCCAAGTACAGCCTAGTAATTTGTTAGAAGCTCTCGCTGGCGTGAATTATAAGACTCCTCCTTTTATTGAATGAGAACGCTTCATGCCAGCCAAACTGGAATGATCAGGAACACACACCTATCTCATCCTACTGAATAACTTCTGATTTCTTTCATCAGTAAAAGTGAGTAGCAATTAGTGACTGATAAAACAAAGCAGGCAAATTCCACTAACAGCACAAGAGATGCAACTCACTATGCTTTATCCCTCTACAAAAAGACAAGTTTTTTTAAATTCAAGGTACTTTATGGTAACCTGCTTCAGCCAATGGGTACCTTGGTAACAATTTTTTTTCAAAAAAGCATTACAGACCTTTTCTTGCCTTCGGTTAGGATCTTGCAATGGAAGGTTTGATTCCTTCCCTAGCACATCAGCGAGCTTACAATTTCAGTGTCGGAATAAAAGATTAGAAGAAACAATCAGGATGAGAGCAGTAATTTTTTTTTGTTCTCTTACAGAGGCTACTGCATCAGATAATCACTTTTATGACAGAAAAAGGAACTGTTGGGAAATTATGGGAACTTTGTCTCTAGGGCTGGTTAGAAAGCTGTTGCAGGAACTTAATCTCTGAAAGCTTCTAATTTCCACTCCAGTTGCATGAATTTATTGTCAACAGAATCCTTTGGCTTAAACAGCTCTTGCCCTTTAAATTCTAAACATATGTGGACTGTGCCAGTTTTCACTTGTTTGTATACGTGGTGGTTGATGGTCCAGGTGTGTACTTAAATACACAATGAATTTGTAACAACAAGAATATTTCAGTTTAAAAAAAGAACAGCAACTTTAAATTGCATTTTGTACAGTAAGAATTCTTTTGCTGCCAGAAGTAACAAATATAGCAGCAAGATGGAGTTGTGGTAACACATCATGCGAATCAGTAAGTTACGGGACAAAGAGTTTCCGCTGTGTTTGTAAGAAGAAATCTGTTCTCAGCCTGTTTTGGGGTTTACCAACTAACCTAGAGCTAGGTGGAGAGCAGAGCCTGCTCCTCCAAGGGCTGCCTAGGCTGGCTGCTGCTGGTTGATGCGGCTGCTGGGGTGATACCGCAGAAGGCAGTTCTCTTTGCCCCTCCAGATCTGGTACTGAGAAAAGGTACTGAGATCTTAGGCTATGTTAGTCTGTCGAACAAAGAAGAGGTACTCAGATCTCAGAAACAAACATCTTCTGTTTGCACTGAGGAAATAAAGCATTTCGCAAGCCACGTCTGATAGCCAAAACGGTATTAGGATAATGCCTGATTTAGGACATGCTTCCCCTTGCAACACAGATGTTTTAATCTCTAGTGATTCCCTGGTTTTGAACAGGTTATGAATGCTCATGCTTCTGTCACAAGCAATCCTCTATCTAACAGGGAGGAGGAGGAAACATCCACCATGAGCACATTACTATGCACTATGGGGTTTCTTGTCTCTTCTTCTGTATTAATATCATCAGGTATTTAATTCCAAGCATGACCCTGGGCTTAATGAATAACTAGTTTAACGTGTGACTGCTGTCAACACAGATATGCTCCTAGGTGGTCTGTTGATTTTTAAAAACTAATTGATTTTTTAAAAAATTTTAAAAATTAATATGCAAAAACCTAAGATAAAGTCAAAGCAAGCTTTTAGTAAGGTGTTTGTATGCTGATTCTGGTAGTGGAGGTTCAAAGTTCTACTGCACTATTAAATAGTTATTTTGCCTCATCTTCTTCATCCTTTCCCAAGTAATTTTCTAGAAGAAATTATAATTTTCACGAATAGAGCACTGAGTAAGGAGCACTGCTTGTCAGTGTAAGGTTTGGATAAGAACACATTTGAAATGGCTTATTTTTTCCCAGGTTCTTATCCCTAGATGACAAGCAATTACCTGCCACCAAATAAGTTAAATGCATATTTTTGTCTGAATGGCAATAATTGAAGCTTTTGCCTTCTGCTGAGATCATTTGTTCTCATAGTCTTCATGAACTGTGGTGGAAAGCCCCCTTCTGAAGGCATACCTGGGTGTTTGGAAAGGTCACTGCTGCAACACGTTTCCTTTGTTAGTCTTAAGCACTGCATGTCTCAGAAATTCCCTTAGGCCCAAGCACTGGGGACTGAGCCAGGAATGTCAAAGCTCCCGAGGCCGTCACCAATGGCTATAACATTCAACTGCAAATTGCCCAGTGGGGGTCTTAACTCATTTGGCTTTACTTATTGTCAGTATATCCAACAGACAGTTTATAGGAGACAGAGGCACATTGTTTATCCTGGTCTGGGATTAACGAAGAAGAAAAGGGGAAACATTCTGAATGCTGGAAAAATCTTTGTCTTGGCCAGAGGAGGCCGAACAAGATGGTTTCTTGTCTCTTGCTCCATCTCCAGACTGGCTGCTGCTACCCTATGCCCATACAAATATTCCCCAGACATGACTCAACAGACCTGCAGTCAATGTAAATACAGAGAAAGGAAGTCGTGCCTGATACTCTGTCATCCTAAAGTGATGGTGCTATGTGAGGAACGTGCCTTAATTACACTCAAAAACTTGCTTGACTTGCTGTTAACACAGGAGCGAGGTGCCAACCTACTGCCAGGGGAAAGTGCAGAGTCTCCATATGACTCTAAGTCTGTCTTGAGGGGAGCGGGATCTCGGGCGATGGCCTTTGTGGAGATTCTGCACTTGTAACTACATGTAGAGCACTAAGGGAAAAACAGGGGGGCAAACACCCTCCTAAGGCTGGGAAAGCAAAGAAGAAAGGCTTTAAACCTCAATTTTTACAGCATTTCTTTTAGGAGTACAAGTTTCTGCCACGAAGGAGACACTTGACTGGAGGTTTCAGAGTCATGTTTGAAGAGCTAACAGTTCAGAGTCTTAGAGTTTGAACACAGGCTGAAAAACCTCAAGGTCCTGTTTGAGTCTCCTACAAGAGAGTCATTGCTTTCACCATCAGTTAATATCTGACATGATTGTTAACTCAGATTCTCCATGTGCAAGGTGAAAAATTGCAGGCTGTGGTAGCAGGGCCAAGTTTGCTCTGAAGTCTGAGTGTAGGAGCTCAGCCTGGCCACTCAGGCTCTTGAAAATCTGTGGATAGCCAGTATCAGAGATGTCTGTGGAGCATTCATAGATCCTTTGGAGAGAGGAGAATGAATCTGCTACAAAAAAACAAAGCTGCTCTAAAGAAACTAGTGAATTTACTGCTTTTGCCCAGATGAGAGGGGAGACTGAAGGCATCTCACTACAACATGAACGTGAAGGGATAAATCTAAAAACCCTACAAGAAAATGGTGTCCTGATACTGATCTGACACAGCTGACAGAAGATAAGTGGCCTAACCTGAAGAGAAGACCTTAGCCGTGGATCTCCAATAACAGCACTGCATCAGCTCTATGCTCCATGTAAGAAATGTGAGCAGTAAGTGATGAGTGCAGGAGAAAACCTGGGCAGCAAGATGAACCCATTCAGTGTTAGAGGAGTGCATGCAAATTTGTATCAAGAACCAGATACTTATATAGCAGATTATATCTTATTTATGCTGCTAAACCCCTCCTGGAATTAGTGCTTCTCTTATATTCCTCAGTGGGATCTAATTAAATGTTGCCCAGTTTCTCACTCTTTCACAGTGGAAAATCTGCCCACCTGGTGAGGGAGGCTGCTTTAAGATGCATCAGCTCTGCAGACATCTGCTGGTTTTGGTTTAGTGCTCAATACTGATTTCTTATAGGAATTCCCCTTCCTTCTGCTAATTTCTGATTTGTACTCTTAATTATAAGTAACATATATAAGAGAGCCCCCAGTAATCTCTAGGCAGACTTCAGCTCTTTGGGTTGTTGGGCAACAGAAGAGTTAAAATAGTAAAAAGTTTCTGAAAACTTACCTCAGCCAAATAGGTGACCATACTCAAAGTAATATCAGCAAATGCTTCATGAAGGTAACGGCAAACCACATTCACCCAGGTAGCACAGTCCCTCGTATAGCTGTGTGTTTTATAAAGGGTCATGACATGGGCGAGATTTGATAGTTTGGGGTTCTTCTCCTCCAAACAAACCTAATTGAATATAAATGTCAAAACACATTAAGAACAAGGCAACTACATTTATAGGGTTTGAAGATGTGCAAAACAGTAAATAACTTTGATACCTGAGCAATTCTTTCAGCTATATCTTTACAAAACTGGTTTGGGCTGTCAAAATGCTGAATTAAGTGGGGCAGGAGACACAAAACATTCAGTGGAAAACCTGGAACAGGAAAACACAGAACAAATTGTATACTTTGGACAGCAAGAGCCACAGTGATCTTCAAGTTGGTGTTTCGTGGGAGGTCACCGTTTCAATATCACATTAGCCATACACTCACAAAGACTCTGTCTAGCTGTTCACGCCACCGGCCACGCCACATTTGTATTAAAGGGGCCTTAATTTGAAAATCTAGTGTAACATTCAGGCAACAGTACTGTATAAAGCATGAAACTATTTCTGCAAACACTACTGCACTAACAGGTATTTACAGGGCAAAATATCTCCCCAAAGTATATATTTTATTCCTGTGAGAGAGTATCTTTCCCGCTTAACCGGCTTACTGACAGTCTTAACTGGTGGCATTTTCATTACTGCTGCTAAAACACACAAAAAAATTCAGTGAGTTTGTTCACAAACAAACAACTGTTTTGGCCAGACTGCCAGTACAGTTTCCATTGGTTTATATTGTTCAAGATAATAATAATAATGAAACAAAGTTCTGACGTAACTGGTTGGATGATTGTACTCAAATGGCTGGTTTTTGAAGCTAGGAGATGGCCCAATGCCAAGTGCCAGCTGCTGCCGTTAGCGTAAGGGCTCTGTCTGGAGCTGGGATTCAGCTCTTCTGGACCAACTTATCACTCCAGGAAGTTGATGAACTATAGGCACTGACTGTAATAGGGAGCTGTAAACAAAAGCTCCTCCAGTTCAGATGGGAGCTTAGAGCTTAGAAGTCACAGAATCATAGAATCACAGAATGGTTTGGGTTGGAAGGGACCTTAAAGACCATCTAGTTCCAACCCCCCTGCCATGGGCAGGGACACCTTCCACTAGACCAGGTTGCTCAAAGCCTCATCCAGCCTGGCCTTGAACACTTCCAGGGATGGGGTATCCACAGCTTCTCTGGGCAACCTGTTCCAGTGCTTCACCACCCTCTCCAGGAAGAATTTCTTCCTCATATCCAGTCTAAATCTCCCCACTTTGAATTTAAACCCGTTACCCCTTGTCCTGTCACTACAGGCCCTTGTAAAAAGTCCCCTCCCAGCTTCCTTGTAGCCCTTTCAGGTACTGGAGAAGTCAAGAAACTGGATCTGGACACAATTGTTTTTTTTGGAAAGCACGAACCTGATCTATGAAAATGTTTGTTTTCTCACTCTCTCTCTTTCTACACAATTAAACAAGCTGCCTAAGTTAAGAGCATAATTCCCCTTGGCTTCCTCTACATCCAGGGAAAAGAAAAAGATAACTCCAGATGCTCCTGTCACAGCCCACGCCTGAAGAGTCGAACCGAAGTCTGGAACACCGGCACGACACAGGTGCTTAGGGATGGACACGCTGCTCATGGCATTCATCCCCTTAATCTGCGTCCAAGCTTGTTATGACTTAGTTGTGAAACCTGAACAATTGTCTTAATATCTCCGTTTCTGAGACAGAGGAGTAAATATCTGGAGCAATACAGCAACTCTCTTCAGGAAATAAAATTAAAAAGTGGTCACAACCTCAACTAAGTAATTGGGAATTGCAAAATGTTACCTTATTTCCTCATAACCCAGGCCTCCCCACTCACTAATGTGCTGTTGTAGTTTATTTAAAAATTGTACAGGAGTTTTTCATATATGTATTTATTTTTCTAGGAAAAATCCGATGAAGCACTAATATAAATCAAATAATTTGCAATATCCTGGAAATAAATCAATGAAAAACCTGGCCAAAATAGGTTCTAAAAAATTTGACAGTATCTCCTTACATATGTTTATTTTGTCAGCAGTTGGAAACTCCATATGCTACTGAGCACTAGAAATGAAATGTGAAATAATACTTGACCGGTCTCCTCTAAAACTTTTTTGTGCAACAGATTCACTTGTCAGAAACATGTTATATTGCTATGAAATTTCCAGAAAGCCCACCCAACTCAAAGCAAAAATGCATTATGAGAAAAGGATTCCATACTAGAAGAGAAAGAAAACCTGACATGTTTGGTTTTGTGCAGATAGCCTGATTAGGTCTGCCATCAGTGTCAAAGCAATGGAAACTGAAAGAGAGGACAGTATATTGGTTTTACCTATAGCTTGAGAGGAATCCACCATGGATATTCGAGACACTGGTGTCAGCAAACTGAAGAGCTGTAGCGTGAGATCAGTGGTAGTAAGGGAGGTGAATCCTTTCAGGAGTAGCTGCTGAAGGCCAGAGAAGTCTGCCCACTTCAGCTGTCCTTGCAACTTCTCCAACTTCTCCCGGTTTTCAGCTTTATCTAGTGGCAAATGAGCCAGAAGTTTATTCAGTAACCGCAATGCCATCAGATACTCAAACTCAAAATCCGATTCCATCAAAGCCACAGCAACCCAGAAGATGGTGGCCAGTAGGTTGGTTGGATTGTTAATATGGGATGGGTCAATGAGACTGTCCTTTAGAGAAGATGAACTTCGGGTTTTAGAGGACAGGCCTTGTTGGGTGCACGCCTGAATTCTGTCTAGCGTGGCACTGCGCGGCGGGTCTGAGGACTTGTCCACATCTCCAAACTTTTTGGGTACAGAGAAGCTCCTCTGGTGCCTGCTTCGTTCAGCGGTGGCTGTGTTACCGCTCGCAGGGTTCACGTTCAGCTGTCCTGTGCTCTTCCTGTTTGCAGTCAGTTTGGTGCTTGATGTTAAATCCGGCGAAGACGAGCTGAACCCAAAACATGTAACATACATCACAATGTGTGAATGCGCAACTTGAAACTTGTATGTGTTGGATGCAGGTTAAGTATTTATCAAACTGTAAATAACTATTTAAATAGGAAAATTAAACAACCATGCTGTGTATTGCAGCCTGCACTTTTTATTCCCTAAGTGCCCACAGACATGACTGAAGTGAAGTTCATGTGGCATTGTGCCAAACCAGAGCAGGATAGACTACAGTCTAGACAGGTAAAGAATAACATGGGGACAGGAGATACAGAGCTGTGAAGTGACTTGGGGAAATGCCCATATAATGGGGCAGTGGTAGAACTGAAAACCATCTTGGTCTCCAAAATGCCCTCATCAGTGGAGCAAACCCCAAACCTGGCACAGCTGGCAGGCAAACTGCACAATGGCTTGCTGGCTAACGTGAGAACTGTGGGCAGAAAAGAACAGCACATCTCAAGCAGAATCACAAGTATGCCACGTTAGCCTCAAGAAACTTGCCACGTGGCTGCCTATGTTCTCACTCGTACAGGTCCTTCAGAAAACTTGCTGTCATTGCATCTTCCCCTGCCTGTATAGAATCATAGAATGACAGAATGGTTTGGGTTGGAAGGGACCTTAAAGATCCTCTAGTGTTATGGACACACGGGACAAAATTAGTTTTATTGAGGAGAACAAACCACAATCATTTATTTCTGGGGGAATACTTCATCTGAGAATGACAGGTTGTATGAAACCAATATTCCAAAGAACGTGCTTCTTCATAGATACGTTTTCAAATATATGGTACAAAGGTGAAAAAACTCACAGTATTTTTAAAGGATTTTCAAGTAAGTTATAGCCAAGTGGCAGCAAGGCAGAATTTACAATCAATCAGCATTATTTCAATTGCTGTGAAATTTGGCCGAGATGTGCTCTTAGTCTAACTGTCTGAAAGTTACAAACAAGCATAGTCTTATCAAAATAATTTTATGCTGTCAGACTGCAGAACTGCACACTTAATATCATGAGACACTGAAAAAAATAGGTACCATTAGGAGAACAGGCTCTTACCGTGATAAAACCGTCAGAAGATCACTGTTCTTCAAACAGTCAGACAGATTATCCACAGCAGCTTCCAAAGTAAGCAGTGCCTCCATTACATACCCCTGCAAATGCACGAGGTTATCCACTTCAACAAAGACATTCAAAATAGGGAACATTTAAAAATGTTCAGTTTATAAAAGGTACAGTTACCTACTGAAAACCTGTAATTTCTTCTGAAAAAAGAGCAACATTCACATCAATGCCACTGCCCTGAACATTAAAATGTCACTACGAATGTGTTTTATTTTCTGCCTCTGAATGATCTATGAAGGCACGCAAGAAGGGCACATATCTCATTAGGGCACGGTAACAGCACACAGAACCTCTGACTTGCAGGTCGCTGATTTAAATTCTGCACAAGCAGTTGTGACAGAATATTACTGTCATCTTGTGGCAGTTTCATTACCTAAGTAAAATATGGAGGCAATGTCAGTTTATCTCTTACTAAGAGCTACTAGTTCACTTTATTAAGTCTTGAATGTCACAATAAACAGGCTCTGATTGTAAAATTTCAGGAGAGAACAGTCTGTTTAGTTAAACCAAGTGAACATCACAGCTCACTAAGAAAGGACCGGATGAAATAAGGTCAGTGTAAGTTTTGTATTGCTATGGATGGTGTGGGTTTCTTTATTCCAAAATACGTTAGCATTTGAGAAATGAGTGGTGTCTACTCCATGTTGTCAGATTACATCAGCAGATGGGAAGATGGGATGCTTCTGCACAAATTAATGAAGTGAAAAGGGAAAAAATGGTCATTGTGAAGATTTCATTTTGAGTGTCATTTACTAGATGATTTCTAGCTGTTCTCTTTAGAGCTATGTAAGGCTCTAATAGCCTGATGAAGGATTTGATAAGGTATGTCTGGATGCAGTAAACTCAGAGGTAACCTAACCTTCTCTAAGGTCACACTGTACTTTGCATCACTTGACTCCAGAACACCCTCTTAAAACAGTAATTTTAAATTAAATATATATTATATCAACCATACTAAGAAGCATTTTGTACACATGCATACCTGAATCTCATCTCCATGCTCCCCAATAACTTCCACCAATCTTGACAGGAGGTCAGACAATGCATGTGCAGACAGGGGCTGCTTTAGGGCCCTGAATATCTGGAAAGAGCGACCTGCGTAATGTCTCGAAGAGCTTGAAAGAGCTGTTTGTAAAGCAACTTCACTCAGATGCTGCTCCAAATGAAAACCTAAACAAAGGAATAGTATTTCAATTTGTTTTGGTTTTCTTTTTTTTTTTAATGACAGCCTCTACTGTGGGTCCTAAACAGGCTGAACCAACTGTAGTATATCTTGCAAACCCTGTGTGAAATGGAGATGCACAAATATCTGGGTTTGGGAGAATTTCCCACTGTTTACATTTATTTCACATAGAATGTAAGAAAATAAACTGCAAAACCAAAATTGTGAGTCTGCAAATGCTTGTCAGCAAAATGCTGAAATTCTTCATCTGATTTAAATTTTTTTTGGACAATTTCTGGACAAATTTTTAAGCCTGCCTTTATTTTTGTTGGCAGCAACATGGTAACTTCTGAACACTCCCAAACCTAAAGCCAAGCTGAATTAGGAGTCTTTCTATAGGCTTCCGTAGGCTTTGGGTAAGATCTTAAATATAAATAGTGATCCTGCATTCTGCTTTGATCTTGGAAGATATTTAATTGGTGACTGTGTTGGTTTTCAAAATACAATCAGCACATTTCCTAAGCTCTAAAAACATAATAAATTAAAACCAAACTTTAATTGCCTGAAGAAATTTAACAAAGTACATTTACTTAGCAACTGTGAATCATTTTACCAACAGGACACAGAGGAGCTTTTATCTGGTAGAATCGCTCAAAAGGCTTTCTACCAACAGCTTTGAAGAAATGTTCAATCTAACATTCACAGAATCATAGAATCATGGAATGGTTTGGGTTGGAAGGGACCTTAAAGAGCATCTAGTCCCACCCCCCCTGCCATGGGCAGGGACCCCTTCCACTAGACCAGGTTGCTCAAAGCCTCATCCAGCCTGGCCTTGAACACTTCCAGGGATGGGGCATCTACAGCTTCTCTGGGCAACCTGTGCCAGTGCCTCACCACCCTCTCCAGGAAGAATTTTTTCCTGATATCTAATCTGAATCTCCCCTCTTTCAATTTAAACCCGTTACCCCTTGTCCTGTCACTACAGGCCCTTGTAAAAAGTCCCTCCCAGCTTCCTTGTTGAGCCGCCGTCCAACCCAACAAGATTTTTTAAAAGCAGTTCTTTCATATGTCATGCATCCTTGCTAAGACAGATGTTGTGGCAGTCTACTAAATCACAGGATAAGCATTCAGTGTGACCTTGAGGGAATATTCTTTTAGTTGTGAAAGGAAAAAGATGTACTACCTGATTTGGAATCTTTAAATACAGATACAACATGACGCAGAAAATTAGTAAGCTGTTCAGCACTCTTGGTGTTCTGGTTCTTGGGCGTGATATCTTCATGGCACCAAAGTGGACCAAATGCCCTTAAAGAAATACATAACCAAGTGCAAAATTTCTTTGAGTTACTTGAAATAAATGTCATCAGATAAAATATAGAAACTATAAAGGCAATTAGATAATTCCAGGGCCACAGCCTGATAAACATGCAACTGAAGAGAATTTTATCAGCAAAATAAAAGTAAATAAATATTCCTATGCTGCCTTTTACAAAACAACTTTTAAAATATGTTACGCCATTTAGAGAGCAGCATAAACAAACCCCTGGTTTTTAATTTAACATTGTGTCTAGGATCTGCTGGCTGTAGATGGTAGTTAATACTAGTTTCATTATGGCCTTTCACTATGCCCTGTACAGTTCCTACCTAATTTTGTAATAATAAAACTGTCTTCTTCCATTAGTTCATCGTTAAACATAATGCAATCAGTCAATTAAACATTTTATTCCTGTCAGGCAAGATGGTTTTTTGTTGTTCCTGACACTGTAGTGCTTTCAAGTACTTACCTTCTTCTATAAGTATCAGTAAAAGAGAAATGGGATTCTGTAATTACTATAAAAGCTTAGTCTTTTTCCTTTGAGTCTTTTAAGTTGCTACAGATAATTGTAGAGAAGACATGAAAGTATGCGTTTCAAGCACAAATGCAACCTCTGCTTATCCCCATTACCTGGTTGTCAGAAACTCAATTAATTTGTTTGCTTTCTCATCTGTTTCAGCAGCAGTGTCCATGTCCTCAACCTCCTGTGTAATCTGTGGGAGATTTCCACTGCTGCCTCCCAGACTGATACTGGAGGAGGTGGAGCTGGAGCTCAAGCCGGAGTCTGGCACCGGAGATGACTGGTATTCCCGCAGAAAGTCAAAGCCACCTGCCAGCAGGAAGGGAGGAGATAAAGATGGAATGCACTCTAGGGCCAGCATTACACACGGGAATGTCCACCAAGCAGCCCTTTTTCAGAGTCTGCAGCAGAAACCTTCTACTGGGAAACACGGGGAAAACCTGCAGAACACAACCACCCTCGAATGCCCATGGGAGTGAAAACAGCACTTTCTTTCTCCACATGCAGAATTCAACATAAAATGAAAAATACCAAAGCTAAGATTTGTTTTTTACTACTCGAGGGCTACAGTACTTGAAAAAACAAATGTTTTGTGGTATTCTACAATGGGAAGTCTCTCTTTCTGTAAAGTAACTTCGAAGTTGGCTGCGTGCAGGCAAAGTTCAGCTCACTTCTCTAGGCTAGACTGGTGAGGAAAAAACCTCTGCAGGGGGCAATTTTTAGGGCAATTATGTTGTCCCAGTAATGGAAACCAAGACACAAATGTTTAAGGCTTCTGTTCAGCACCTTTAGTAAATGTAAACACTGGACTGCTCATACTAAATATGTTCAGCATTAAGGTTAAACATCCGAGTGAGGTAGGGTTCTGCTAGATCAAAAGGTTGTCACACAACTTCAGAGCTGGATTTAGAAACCAAGACCTCTTTTCTTAAGGTTAGACTGCCAGTCATCTTAGGCTGTGTCCACAACACAAAATCTGGCCCTGCAAGAAGACTGGAAGCAACACGGGCCTCTCCACTGACAAAACCTACTGCAGGTCAGAAGACTCTTACTTCAGTTGCCTGACATTATTATGTGGAACGAACCTGAGCAGAAGTGTTTTCAATTAGGATTCTTTGCTATAACTACCCACCCACACTCTCACTATTTATATTAGCTGACAAAAAAAAGAATCTATATACAAAGTTTTGATAACTTTGTGACTTAAGAGGCCCAAACACAGGGTAACAGTTATGTTTTTCAGAGACAGGAATGAACAGTTTTTAATTTTGGCAGAAAAGCAGTAATATATTTTTAATGTAAGAATTTTATTCTGTATTTAATAATTCATGGACAGGCATTGGAAAAGAGATCTACATAACTCAAGATGGGAAATTCACGTGGGAAGCAATCTTGCATGGACTTTATTAAGAATGAAACCTAAAAAGCCCAAATTAATTTACTGCATTTTTATGCATATCCCCTTCTTCTCACTACTCTAAAATATTTTTTTTCTCATTAAAAAAAAATCATTTATCAAGTAATATTCTTTATAAAGCCAAACTACCTACTGCTTTTGGTAGTATTCCTAAGGAACTATGGAAATGCCACTAATCTGATTATCTCTCCTTTTTGTTTTCCTCTGTATGGTAAAGTTCCTCACTTTCTCCCTGACAACTAATCCTTACCTCCACAACTCTACTCTCTGCTTCTGTGACTCCTTCAAATTTCAACAGTATGCTTGCTTTTAGTAATATTACAAGATAATAGTAAATGTTTCCAACCAACCCCTTAAAAGGAGGTTAACTGGTAAAATTAACAGAAGACCTGTTTCAGCAAAGGTCTGAAACAAGCCTCCTAATGCAGAACAGATTTCAGGACAGAAATGAAGTGTATCCATCTGTGATACAAAGGAGGATGTATATCATGTGAAATTTAACTTAATAATGGAAAATCTGAGCTGCTTCTCTTCCTGTGTTGGAATTATTTATTCATTTCTTTTGAAGGTTGAGGAGTGATTGCCCTCATTTAAAGCAGTCCTGGCTCCCTTAGGGGAAGTTAGAAAGTTATTAGCCATATTAATGTTTAAAATTCTACATTATATATTTTGCCTTACACCAGATAGCTTTCTTACTATGATGAAAAGTTATCTAATAATAATTTGCACACATCTCTAGGGTAGTTCACATGGAATTAATATTAATGCACGTGGAATTAATATTAATAGGAGCAGTTCCTATTTGCCACTTTACCACTTTAATTTACCGAAACTGTTACATTTGAGGAAAGTAACCTTGACATCCTACTTTCAAAAACCTCACGGTATAAAGCAACGTTCTTTTCTTCTTTTGCTTTATTACCTGTATAAAGATATTCAGGTAAGTATGCTGGTTGTACTGTCAGAGTCTTGGTCTCATTCATCTCTCTGGTCTGAAGAAGCACTGATGCAATGGCTTGATAGTTGCCATTGCAAGATAATGCAATCAAAAGGTGAAGCAGTAACTTTTTACTGTGTTCAAAGACCTCAGGGCGGTAATGGTCAAGGCCTGAAAGAAAAGGTTAGAGCAATCACTGGATATGAAGTAATAATAAACAAGTTCACATTCCAGAAATAGCAAAAATTCCAAGGCAGTTCATGGCAACAGTGCAAACAAACAAAAGACGCAATACTTCCGGACACAGTTACTAGTGATTTTACTTCAAATGTAAGTGTACATTCAGTTTCCAGACTGAGGTCCCACACAGGAGGTACAAAAGTATGTGTGGCAATACAACTTTATGCATTCTGTCTCTCTGCAGTGTTAATTTGACAGGGCTGGAAAACCTCTAAAGATGAGAAATTCTTGGCGGTGGTTGTAATTACACTGCTTACCCCGGTGTCAGGCCTTCTTGCGCAGACATCAGTTTTACAGTGAGTGCAGAATGACTTGCTAAGAAAGGAACTGACAGACAAAACCCCTTGAAAAAGAACTTCAGCTACAAGTGAGTAGCACGAGACATCAGCCGCTGGATCAGCGTGCAGAACTGATAAAACTGCACTCTGTGCTAGTAATCTCTTTTTAATTCTCTTTCATTATCTTATAGGATATTTATAAATAGTTTCTGAAGAATTGAATTGTTTTCTTCCTCAGCCACTCTCTTCTGAGGATATATTCCTCTTTAAAATCAGCTCCTTCAAGTGGCAGCAGCCAACAGGTCTTTCAAGTAGGGTGTTTTCTAATGTACTTCAGTCACACTGTTTTTTGTCTGTCCTGAAAAAATGTAGCTGCTCACACTATCACACTCTGAACAACGTGTCTTTGGCTCCTATGGGTAAATCTTTGAAAATTTTGTTATCCCTGGTCCTACTGATCTGCTCACAGCCTCCTCCAACTGGACCATGGCCAACCTGCCCATCTCTTTTTCAGCTCCTTCAGGTTTCTGCTCCTATTTCTCCTTTCTCCATTTCCTTGCACCTTCTAGGAGATAACGAACCCATCCTACCCTGTTCTAGCATAGACTGAAAAGGACATAAAAAGTTCTTTTAGTTGAAAGTAAATTTTATATCAGCATCACATGACTAAAGTCCCGTTAAACTCTAGGGCTGTCACAGATATGCTAAGAAGGACAGTTCAGTCTCTGGGCTTGTGCAGTGCTGGGCCCTTCTTTAACTTGGAAGAAGGTAAACTTCTGTGATGTGGACAGGTTTCCATGGGAAAGGAGCCTAGCTGCTCAACTAATTTCACACTGTGTGCAAAAGAGGTTTTAATTAGTAGATATTTTAATGCACTCCTGAGATAGGCAAGTTCACATCAGTAGTCTGCCTCTTCACTATCACTTTCACTATCAGTACTACAAACTATCCAATAGGCTATTACACACATACACTGAAAAATTATTTCATTTGAGTATTTTTTCATTCATTTCAATAAGTGGAAGGATACAAACTTTCCAGCTAGCCACCATACCACTTTCCAGTGCCTCCTCACATTCCAACAGGACAGAAACACTTCATTTTCAGCTCACATTCATACCTTTAGCATAACTTCTTCACTCCAACACAACAGAACTCTACTACAAAATACAGTAACATTTTCCACAGGAGGTATAACAACTCTAGGGAAACTGAACTTGAAGCCTGGAGGCTGCGATCTCATTTTACTTACCAGTAAACCAGTTACATTCAGTTACCAGTTAACATTTAGCTTTCATTTCACATTTGAGAATTGAGAGTTCTTAGCCAAGGGGCTGTCTCAAAAGGTATTCATAAATTTCTATTTATTTCTTATGAAAGAACGTAATGTTGAAACATTATTGCTTGAACAAATCAGTAAAGATACTTTTATAATGGATTACTAATAACTCTGTTTCTGCATCTGTTTATTTGCATGGCTCCCTGATGGCTCCTTCAAGGTGTCTTAACTGAATTGGCCACCCTGCTGCATACTACTCCTGTCTAAAGTTACTCATTTATCCTTGGGATAATTTCTAACTGCAAGCACCAGTTTTCTCCCACTTGTTACAAATCCTACTAAGATGCTGTTTGAGCAGTGGTTATTCATTTGATTACAAAATTACCCAGTTTTCTTTCAGCTCCCTCTTACACTCAGAAAGTTCACAGCAATATAAAAAAAATGGGCAGCCACAAAATAGGTTTAACTTTTAAGCAGAGAATATATATGAAATGTTGTGTTGAAACTGACACTGGAAACCCCATCCAACACGGTCCTGGCTGTGACCCTTGTGTTTCATTACAAGTCTCTTGAAATCAATGTACTAATATACAAAACGAGTATTTGTTGAGTGTGCGTTTTCCAAAATACCCTATCTCATAAAAAAATTTCAAAAAGAACAGTTGGTAAAAGGAGAATGAGGTATCTACATACAATATACTGAGGTATATCACATATATTCTACCACTATAACCTCCACATTTGATCTTTCTGCCCACTTAACAACAGACTCTTGCCAGATTGCCAGTGAGTAGACTTAGGGGTAACTATGGTGACTGAATGAGAAGTGGACTGCAACCTCCAGTTTATAGTAGATTTATTTCACAAGTGTCTGGCTGTGTTTATTTTTGAAAACTAGGATTTATCAACCATGAAAGTTAGAGAATGGCTTTAATGCTAAATATTCATGTGTTAAAAAATTAGGCCACTCACTTTTCATAAGTTAAGTGGCAGGATAAGGAATGTATCACCCTGCAGCTGAATTGTGTTATAGTGAAGAACAGACACAGCAGTGGGGAAAAGGCAGTGCCTCTGTGCTCAGGTATGTAAGGGAAGACACTGATGATGAAGTATTCCATTAGCAGTGAAATTAATGAAGCTTGCTTTCCAGTGATCTGTGTCCTACCTTCACTGTCTCTGCAGCACAGTCATCTCAGCTCTCTTACATAATATTTTTTCAAAAGCACGTTTGTGTGTAGCCCAGGTCTAAGGCATGTGCTCACTGCCCAGCTGTCTGTCACAAACCAGACCGTATGAAGGCTGAGTTTCACCTGCCTTTCTCGCAGTGGAGGGACTACAGTTTTTTTAGAGATACTTTAGGAAGTCAATCATCTTCCAATTTCTACCCAACTCTCAGATTTGGCCGAAATCCTCCAAAATATTCAAAAGCGTCAAAGATTTAAGACTAATTCCCAGACTATAATTGCCTCAGGCTTTTTTGGGTTTTATTTTTAGGAAATCATAATTAAAAACATGTAGTAAACACAACACTACAGCTTCAGCTAAAAGAAAGTAAAAGGACCGGATTACATTTATACTTAATTTCTTGTTCTGTTGGTCTTACCTAAAAAGAGAGCATGTAGCAATAAAGGGAGGTGAAGAGCCCAGTCTTCTCGCACACTGTGATCCACTACCATCTCAGTCATGAAGATGACAGCAATATTGCACCTGGAAATTAAATCACAGTATCAGTCTGAAACCTCTTGGAGATGGGAAAACTAACATGATGGCTATTTCTGAAGAAATGAACAATCTCTACACTTTCAACTTTGCAGCATTTCTTCTCAATGTGATTAATGCTGAAGCACCCTACTTACAGTATTGAGCAGGTAAGTACCTGTTACTGAAAAGAACACACTCACTGTCAGTACAAATTATGTCAAAGAGGGATTTCAGAATATGCATAGCCTAGTTAGAATAAAAGATCAAGGGGGGAAAAGTGCTATGAATAACAGCCACAGAGGCTTGGGAAAGAGAAATTTTACTTTTCTGTTTCAGTGGTTTCTTCAGTCTGACTCGTATCAGAAAGTGATGTCCTACATTGCAAATAGGCTTTCTGGTAGAAACCTGGCAGGATTGCAAGCCTTCACTGCATGCTGATTTTAGCACTGGGAGTCAGCAGAAATTGAAGGTATGCTTTTCAGATATTCTGAGCGGTGGGACAGTTGGATTAGTGTTGATCAACCAGTAAGGAGAAGCATCTCACTCTGTGAAATGTCAGCATGAGAAACTGCTCACCTATGAAGGGGTCCCCGGGGCGTGATGGTTTCTGGCAGGTAGTCCACAAGTGGTGCCCAACATCCTCCATTGTAAGGCATGGGTAGGGGATGTGGCTGTTTGGTTTCAACAATATTCAATAACCAGCTTGTATATGGAGAAACAGGATCATCTGCATGGAAAAGCATTAAAACAGAGTGCATAAAACCCAAGTCTGCTTACCCCTTTTGGAGAAATAATAAAACAGAGTTTATGCTATCATATCAGCTCAGCTGTTTGGAATAATGTGATGACATGAGGTTTGCAAATTCCTGTGTTCAATAACAACTGATGCATTTTTAATCCTTCTTTCACGCTGCTGGAAATTAAACAGATTCTAAGCAGACAGCACTGAATGGTAGGAGCTGGAGCTGAATCCCTGCTGTCACTTAGTAGCTTTTGATCCAGATCACAAAGCACCAAGCAACAGACCTTCTCTTCAAAAACGAGAGAAAAGTTCAGCCAGGAAAGCTGCTGCCAGAAGCCATCTGCTGCAAGGAGCTGTGTACCAGCAACTCCTCACCAGCGCCCCGCTGAGCAATGCTACAAAGGCAGAAGTCAAATGTCCTGATTTAGGTAGGAGGCATAAGGAATGAAAAAGCATCTTCAGGGTAATTTTCTTTCAACAGGGATGAGTTATCTCTTGAATTTCTCAAAGATGTGTGTAACGGCTGCATTATGACAGCTGCCGTATGTTAATAGGCAACAGTTTTTTTCTTCCACCTGCTTATCTGCACTGATGTGGGTCAAGTAAGTTATTTCCATGGCTTCTCTCAGCTGCACAGCTTTGTTCGTCTCTCCTGCGTTTTGTTCCCTCTCATTCTTCTTGATTTTTACATCGGCCAGTTTTTATTTCTCAGGTCTGGCAGTCTGCATTGCACTGTCATGGGAAGTATCCTTTCCAGGCCCGTTCTTGACATATATCCAAACACTGCCCTTCGTGAGGTTTTAATGACAGCACTATTTTTCGCTCCATTTGTTGTTTGTTACACTTCTGCATTTTAGTTAGGTTTGAAACTCTCAGCACTTTCTTTTTTTTAACAGCATGAATCTGATGCTTGTTGGCTTTGCCACAGGAAACGAAACTGGTTTGATGCCTACAAACGTATCAGAGCTAGCTTTTTCTAATGCACAGCACTTCTCGGTTTTGACAAAATGTCTTCAGGTTTCCAGATTTCCAGAAGCCCTCCAGTGCAGTAGCTGCTCCTTCAATTATTACTAAAATGCCAGCTTTATCTCTCCCATTCTTCAGTGTTAGTCTTCCAAGGAGCACTTTAGATCTTTATGATTTAGACTCTACTTATTTCTCTCATCCTCTGGATGATGATTTACTACTACAGACAAAGAAGAATAAACTGACCTAATAATGTAGCAAAGTATAGCATTTTCACATATTCATCTTCTAAGGATTAACCAGACAATGTTTGCCAGATGCCTTTCACATAAAAAGCATTGGACAGTTACTATTTATTACTATCAACTTAAGTGCTGCACATAAAACTGCTTCATGAAGACCACACTAAGGCCTAGCTCCCCATCCATGTTTTCACAGGGTTATGTGCAGACTGAGAAAAAAAAAGAGGCACTTTGCACCAGTAAGACACTATCTTAGGCTGAACAAAAAAGATTCTGTGCTCAAGAGGTGTGTTTCCCATTTATGTCCTCCGCAATACACGTATGCTCAAGTAGACTGGAGAGAAGAAAGAAGTCATACCACCAACTCTTTTGCAGCCTGGGCTGCCTGCCCCAGGGAATAAGCTGCAATTTCTTAACAGAGGTTGAATTATTTATCTTGAAGAATGAAAAATGGTGTAAGAATTACTCATCCCTTTTAGAGTCCTGTATAAATGTCAGTAGCTAAGTAAAATGTTTTTTAGTTTACATGTAAGTATTTGTCTATTTGCAGAAGGAACCCCTGTGAGAAGCAAACCTTGCATAAATATTCACCCTACTATAAAGCTTGCAGGTACAGGCAGGAAAAAACCTTTGGGCACCGGCTTGAAGAGACATTCTAAAAGAGCAAAAAAATTTCAGTAGTTTTTAGCCTTTTATTACTCTAAGCTCCTGTCAAAACCAGCTACTTGTGAAGAATGCTCTGATAATATAAATATTATTCTGTTTTGAAAGATTGTTCATGCAGATCAGATCAGCGCTGTTGCTCCAATTAACATCTGCTGAAGAATTTATAGCAGCTGCAGCACTAGAAAGCCATAAGAAAAACAAGGCAAGTGTTCTAAAAACCACTGAGTTTGATATGCTGCACACTTTTTTGTGTATTTAAATACTGCACTATGTATATACACAGTATTTTGTAAACATTGTGCTTCGTAATTACAAAATACAGTTGTTGATATCCATTAAATTATCCTATGGTATTGTATGTGCCAGTGTTTCCACATTTTGCAGAAAAGTATTACTAAAAAATTACTCAGAATAAAGAATATATACAGTCTTTACTTTTTATGCCAAAATACTGTCCCAAAATGGTGTCTGTAGCACAAAGACAAGACATTATAGCCTCTATGTTATTTGACCTGGCTTTGTTCAGCCAGAAATAGAAGTCTATAAAAAAGGCTTGCCTTTTTCACATGTGGTTATGCCTTAACTGAAATCTGTAGGCCTAACTGAAATGTGGTTATGGCCTAACTGAAATATGTAGATTGGCTTCCTTACAATTCACTCCAGAAATGAATTCAAACCATCCAACTCCTGAAATTTACACTGTCATTCAATAGTTGACAGAAATGTTGGTTTTCTTCGGAATCCCTCTGAGCATCAAGTGTCCATTTATAGTTCTTTGAGCAGAAATACAAGCGTTTTCAGGAGGCCTGTCTCACCCTCCACCCTAGCACAGGTTTGCACAGCACAGCCAGAAAACGGTTGGAGGCAGCAGAGAATAGCTACAGAGGAGATAAGGTCTCATTTGTGGAAAATCCTGGATCTGTCCTTCATGCTCATAGAACAGCACTTGATTTGGAAGGAAATACAGGTGAAGGGCGCAGTTCAAAGTACTCGCTGTAATGCTCTTGGAGATCATTTGCCTTGCCTGTATGAACGGTTCAAGGTGTTACTGTCTAGAGGATTCTCTGCTGTTCCTACTGTGAAGTTCTCTGGCCTTTAAATAGGTTTGACTGAGCCCATGATTAAACAAAGGAGATTAATTAATTAAATGAGGTATGAAGGTAAAATAGGGATGCTCACTGTGTGGTGATGCTGCACTACTGTTTATACAGAACTTAAACAGAGAGCCTCCACCAGTCATACGAATGTTTCCCTCTCTCACCAAAACACCAGAAATTTCATCAAATTGAATAATAGAACTTACTTTTGTCATCATCGTAAGATCCTCCGGAGCTATTACTGTACCTTGATTCAAGTCGGGTATGTGCTCTGATGACATTACTGAACCTTCAAATGCAAGAAAAATCCTCATTAAAAACACAGACTGACATGAAACATCAGGACTATATGCTTACTCTAGAAAAAAACCCCATTTCCATACACACGCACTTTGATACGGGAGTAGACAGCAATGTGAGTGTAATGTTTTCCACAAAAGATTTTTGCAGTCCGTCTCTGGGGAGTTCTAACAGTGTCCTGCTCTGTGTCACAAGCTTTTGAAATTTAGCAGCGGGAAAAAATCACTTTGTGCACATGTCATTTTCTTGAGGCTAGAAACCGTGCTAAGGCTGAACTCGGATATAAACTGTTCACAGCAAGTATTTTTTCACAGTTCATGGGTAAAATTCTGGCAACCTGCTAGAGCAGTAACTGACTGACGAGTCCAAAGTCAAGCCCGCACAGGTATCAAGCAGCAAAAGCTGCAGCAGATCACCAAGAGGAAAACCCAGCAACTGCCAGAGCAGATCTAGCAGAGGAGTTAAGGAATATGAGAGCCAGAACAAGCTGTTCGCAGCTCTCCTCAAAGCTGCCTCAGATCCACGACAAGCTAATTTTTACTGCTGATCTCCTTGGGCTTCCTTCACCTCCTTGTGCTTTTGTACACTTGTCAGTGTAATTAGGCCTGAAGAGGAGGGAGAGGAGTCATGCAGGAGGCTCTCACACTACAAGGATGTAAAAACATCATAATTTCTGCAAAGCTAGAAAATTAATGACAAATAACCACATTAAAGCAACTATCTCAAACAAAGCCAGGTTGACCGTTCTCTGTGCATCATTCAATTCAGTTTCTTACTACTGTGCATACATATCATTGCAGGGTATTTAATTATACATTAGCGGATTATGCTGTTTTCAAAGTATGTCTGTCTCGTAAGGGTACAACAAATTCATTGTGAAGGTGACAAAAAGGCATCATGAGCCATCCTAATTCTGCCATTTTCTCTTTCCAGTAGCTTTTTCTTCCATATTTTAATAAATTCCTTTAATAAATGCATATAAATGGGCAATTACTGACATTTTTATCTGGCACACCTACAAAGATAAAGAAAAATATAAAAGAATGAAGTTAAGAAAAAAAAATTTGAAGAAATATGCAGTGATGAATTCTGTCCTGTACGAAACAAATGGAGAATACAGGTCATAGATTACTTGAGAGCAGGGCATTTTACATCATATTGAGTCAACATAAAAACATAGGCATCTTCTGATTAGCTTCATATTATTTAACAAATGCCCACATTTATGAGAATAGTTTGCTTACATTCCAATACCTTCTGTAAACATCCATTTAATAAGTCTTCTCACCTGAGGTCAGTGTTAATGGACACTGTTAAGACTGACACATTGGTTGAAGTGTGATGCACTTACAGCTTCTACTGTCTTTGATAACATAAACAACAGCAATTAATTCAGGCTCATTAATCTACTTTTTTTTTCTGAGAAGCCTTTCACCAGGAATCAGAATACCAATGTCATAACTTTGTAAACTTACTTTCATTTTTATCATACAGGGTGTGGCAGACTTGAATGCCAAGAAACTTTTTGGAGTCACATTTTAAATTTGTGGAAGACAAGAACCCCTGAAAATGCAGTTAGATTTAAAGTAAAGCAGGAGATGCTTATCTTATTCTTATTTTATATTT